ACACATTCACACGTTGATTTGCTTCATGTTTTGACTACTGCTATGACCAGCTGCAAAGCTGGTAACCGAGACGTCTCGGTTGACGTTTCTGTGTAGTATGGGGCTAGCCCAACCGAGGTGATATAATGTATAGGCCTGGTGGGTTCAGGGTCTTTCATCTTACATCTGCCTGCGAGCAGTTTGGAGGTGCAAGATACCTGAGCGTGTAATGTTAATTTTACCTGTGATCCTTTGAATAAATCAGCACTGTTTTGAAGTTACTTGGACTATCTCGTCTCTCAGAGTTAGCAATGGTAACAAGAACCAAAGTCTAACAGGAGGCAGTTTGGCTTGGTGCTAGTTTCACCCGCTGGGTAGGCCTACCTGTCACATGTGTTCCTCCCAGATGAAGTCTGACTCTGGAGTGAGTTTCTAATAAAGTTTTTTTAATTGAAAAAGTGGCACATGAGCAGGACACATTCACTTATCACATTTTAGCAATCTCCATTTCATATCCACTGATGTATAATCAGATCTTCATATAGGGCTTAGGAATATTATTCATGTTCGTGCATCACAGATGAGACCATTCTCCTCCCGTGGCCTGAGGCATTTATATTTTCCATATGTCTGTCCCATTCTTGTGAAAGCAATATCTCAGAAACTGAGGAACTTTCTTCAAATTTGGCCAAGCGTCCACTTGGACTCAAGGATGAGCTGATTGCATTTTGGTAGTCAAAGGTCAAATGTCAAGGTCAATGTGACTTCACATTTGTCCCATTCCTGTGAATACAGTACCTCAGTAATGCCTTGAGAGAATGCCTTCAAATTTTGCACAAACATCCACTTTGAATTCAAGGACAGTGTGACTCTCCATCAGTCCTCTGTGCTCCTCTATAAAAAATAGTCTAAGTGAAGACAGCATGTTTCTCACTAGAAATTATTCACTAGATTCATACTTCATCTTCAAGTTTCAAAGTGCCACTGAATCTTGGCCATAGAAGGATTTCATCAATTATTTAAAACTTTAACTTGACCTTGGCTAAATGGTTTCTGTGTTAATCTGTGCCAACAGGAAAGACCTAGTGTGAAACAGAGATGTAAAGAAACAGAGAGAGGAGGGAGGAATCAGGGAATGCCTTGTGACTCCCTCCTCCAAAGTTACAGTGAAAGTTGATGTAGTAGCAACAGGAATGTTTGCCATTTCTGTCTCTCGATCCCGCTCTCTCTCTCTCACACACACACACTCTCTCTCCCTCTCTCTCTTTCTCTCCTTCAATAGAGAGTGGCCTGCATACCTGGGGGACTCCCTCTCTCCCCTTGTGCATACCAAGTCAAAAATCTGTGGACCATTTACCTCACTCCAGTACACAGAATGCTGTCCTTTTCTGTACCTGGGCACACATACGGGTAAGCAAGAATGCAATGGACATCAAAATCCACACACATTTTCACATACAGAATATCACATATCACATAAATGCACACTGTAGCTGATGAAAGCACAGATGACCACATGATCCTTTATGTACTGAAAATATTATTTTCATTGTCAGCTAATCTGTGGATTTCTTGTCTGATTAATAGATATACTTTTCTGCAAAATGTCTGAAAATAGTGCAAAATGCCCATCACAGTTTCACAGACCTCAAAATTATGACTTTAAATTATTGGTTTTGTCCAGTCAGGAGTATAAGACCTTATTATTATTATTGTGTAAAATGATTTTAAAGAACAATTCCTCTCATTTTAGAGGCTGGAAAATGTGAATAATTGCTATTATTGTTTTCCCATTGATAAACCAGCAGTTGAAATAATTGACAAATTATATTTACTTAGTTTCTTGTTGACCCATAAGTCTCATGGATACAGCCTCTTTGGTCTAAACATTATAATCACAGGAACTTATCTTGTTATATCACCATTCAGTTTTGCTTTCAATATGCCTTTCCTTCCGTAATACAACAGGTAGTTTCACTGAAAGTTGATCATTAACGTCGACCGCACTAGATAACAAAAACATCCTTTTAGAGATCTCTGAGATAGAGACCTGCACTATAAATATTAATCTCTCCACATACTTTTCATTTCACTGAAGGATTTCCTCAGGGGGAAATCAAAGTATTTGCCCACTGAGATGAAAGAAGTACGTGCAGAATGTGTGTGGAAAACTAAGTGATGTTGTCAAGAGATATTGAGACATTAGGATTGCATACGCTATCCCCTCTACTGGTATCTGTTTCTCTTTCTGCCATTACAAACCACATAAATCAACACTTTTTCTCCATGACAACCACACGCGGCTGTGGGGGAGCACCAGTCATGACCATAGATGGACAGGGTGTTTACTCAGACACTGAATGGTTGCCTTAAAGTACAAATTTTGGACTGCTGCAGTCATAAAAGCAAATCTTTGGACTGTCAAGTGAAGTTCTCTGTATTGTATGTTGTTTTTAGAAGTGCTTTATATTTTGATTGGCTTCAGTTACTTAAAAGAGGCTTGTTCATGATGTGAATATTTATGCAAGGTGATAGGCTGAGATAAATTTGCACTGCAAACCAAAGTGACTCACTCATCCACAAATAAATATTTATGTTGACTCAGATGCGCACAGTTCAAAATACGTGCACCTGTCTACGCATATGTTTTTGTGTGTTTGCATCACACAAGTAAGTCATTGTGAGATGATAAACCTGAAAATCTTTTTTTGTCATTGTGCAGTATTGAACAACAGGTTGAACCAAGGTGTGCTAACCATGGGAAAACAAGCACAAAGGCAGCCTGTTGGACTGGTAGGGTCAGCTCACACACACACACACACACACACACACACACACTCACTAACTATCAAAGGAAGTGAGTGGCTACTGTAACATTACTAAGGACACACAAACCCTTTCACATTCTCAGACAACACAAACCATTACTAGTTACATGACAGATTAATAAATGTGTGCATTCCCAGCACTATCATAACTGAGAATTATACAGATTTGAAATCACAAAAGAACTGAACCAACTATGCAAATAAACAGCTGTAGCCTCAAGAGCATTTGGGTGGAGCAGGCTGAGTTTTGTTCTAGTGAATGGAATGCATTTTGATGTATTGTGTTGTGTATTTTATTTTAGGTCAGCAGGTTTTCTTCTGTGCTTTTTAGGCTTAATAAAACTGCTTAGTAAAGCAGTTGAAAGGCAACTGAGCTTCACATGTGATTGACTCTGCAGACATTACAAATGAAATCTCCAGGAATACAGAAGGAGTCCAACAGTTACTGATCATTTTCGTTGTATTTTTTTGAGTGTTTCTTTTACGCACATTTGCTTTTACAGAAGGACAAACAGATATAAACACATCGCTATGGATATACACAGATTTGGATAATATTCTTCTTCCCAAGGACAGTTTTTTCCCCCAGTCCGTCATTCCAAGTAACACTTAACCCATGACAATATGTCTGGTCAATAACCCTCAGTGCAATACCTGTAAATATGCATATAGATTCGTTAAATCCAGACTGTGTGTGTGTGTATATACAGTGGGTACGGAAAGTATTCAGACCCCCTTAAATTTTTCACTCTGTTATATTGCAGCCATATGCTAAAATCATTTAAGTTCATTTTTTTCCTCATTAATGTACACACAGCACCCCATATTGACAGAAAAACACAGAATGTTTGACATTTTTGCAGATTTATTAAAAAAGAAAAACTGAAATATCACATGGTCATAAGTATTCAGACCCTTTGCTGTGACACTCGTATATTTAACTTAGGTGCTGTCCATTTCTTCTGATCATCCCAGAGATGGTTCTACACCTTCATTTGAGTCCAGCTGTGTTTGATTATACTGATTGGACGTGATTAGGAAAAGCCACACACCTGTCTATATAAGACCCTACAGCTCACAGTGCATGTCAGAGCAAATGAGAATCATGAGGTCAAAGGAACTGCCTGAAGAGCTCAGAGACAGAATTGTGGCAAGGCACAGATCTGGCCAAGGTTACAAAAAAATTTCTGCTGCACTTAAGGTTCCTAAGAGCACAGTGGCCTCCATAATCCTTAAATGGAAGACGTTTAGGACGACCAGAACCCTTCCTAGAGCTGGCCATCCGGCCAAACTGAGCTATCGGGGGAGAAGAGCCTCGGTGAGAGAGGTACAGAAGAACCCAAAGATGACTGTGGCTGAGCTCCAGAGATGCAGTCAGGAGATGGGAGAAAGTTGTAGAAAGTCAAAGAAAGTCAACCATCACTGCAGCCCTCCACCAGTTAAGGTCGCGTCAACCTAAAACAATCGGTTGTACCCTAAGCTACAATGCACGATGGCCGACGTGCATGAAACAGAAGTTCAGATTGCCCACTTACATGAGCAATACGGGCGTTTAAACGGAAACCTGTGATGGTCCTGATCAGTAGAAAACAGCTGATAGAGCCCAAATGCAGGCTCATATAATTTAATGCAAATGCTGAAAATAGACAGTTTTAGCGGTTTTATTCTTTAAAGTTTTTATTCTATTCTTCAGTTCATCACAGCTTATCTACAGTTAAGTTCTGCACTATAGATGGTTTTGTTTTCAGGCAGTGACGGGGATTTATTGTTGCAGACACGGTGTCACCTGTTGTTTTTTTTCCAAACCACACTCCAGCCTTATGATAAACAGTCATTACAGTCAGGAGAGGCCAGGGCTGCTTTTGTAGCGTTTGAAAATGTCGCCACTTAGCGTTTCATTTGTGATGCCTCCATAATTTTTAAGTTTGTTTTTGGTCTCTTTCACAGGAAGATGCAGCAACAATTTATACGAGGAAAAACGTAGGTGGATGATTCATTTTACATGGTTTAACATTATGTGCCGCAATAAATCATTTACAAGTAGGCCTTCAAAATGTGATTATAGCTGCCTGTCATCACACAAAAAGAGGAGTGTGCACTTAGTTGGATTTTCAGACCATGACCTGACCTTCAGGGCTGAGAAACCAAAATGTTTGAAATACCAAGTTCTGCTGCAAGATGCAACAGGTCTGCCCTTTGATCTGGTGTCTCTAAATTGCCCATAGGAGTGCTGTAACACCCCAGCTCAGTCTGCGGAGCAGCAGGATTTATAGAGCTTCAGATGTCCCATACTGTACTTTTCCATTTTGAAATGCGTGGTGCTACACCAGTCAGGTCTGGCTGTGTTTTAGATTCTAGATTATAGTGTTTCTATGACTGTTCTTAAATCTAATACAGATACAAATCTTCAGCACAAGCCCTAAAAGCATTTAGCTATTTTGAGTTTAAATATTATTCTAGGTTCAGGGGTAAACCTGCGAGAAGTAAAATAAAATTGTGCACTGTCAGCTAAGTAAAAACCTCCTTTTAAAATAATTATGTGACCAGCTTTCTCTGCCTTCTCTCTCCTGCAGCAACCTGCACAGAGCTGAATCTGGGCTACTGTAATGATATGGAGTATTCCAGGTGGGTCATAGAGGTTGGTTCTAATGTGGGCGAGGAAATCAGTGTCAGCTTTGTTTTAAGTAATTCTTTCTTACTGCTTTAAATTCAAAGTTGCTTATACATCTTTTACATCTGATTGTGAGTGTTATGTTTGAATCCTACTTTAAAAACATTGCTGCTTTAGGACCATATTCCCAAACATCCTTGGACACCGAAGTCGTTTGGAGGCTGAATCAGGAGCAGAGTACCTTCTCCTCAGCGTCATCCATGGCCTGCTCAACGGGGAGTGCTCCCCTGAGATCCGTCTTGTAGGCTGCTCGGTACTTGCCTCGCCCTGCAAAGATGACAAGATGATCAAACCCTGTCGCAGCACATGTGAGGCACTGAGGAAAGACTGTTCCCATGCCTTTGAAGCTATAGAAATGGCCTGGCCTTACTTCCTGGACTGTGATCGCTTCTTTGCTGGTGACCAAGAGGGCTGCTTTGACCCACTAGCAGGGCTGAAAAGTAAATGTCACACTGGTTTTTGTACTAGTTATCTGTGAAACAAACCTAGCGCCCTTCACTTAATCCCTTAATCCTGGTATCCCTCTTCCAGCCAGACAGGAGCAGGAAATGTCCAGTCTCTCTCCTGAAGAACCCAGCACCATCATCCAGTTCACATACACCTCCAATGCCCAGATGTACAGCTTACTGAAGAAAACAGCAGCCAAGTGTTCCCACATCTCTCATGTCTACAGCATCGGACGCAGCACCGAGGGCAGAGATCTAATGGTTATTGAGTTCACCAACAACCCTGGGCAGCATGAGTTATGTGAGTAAGAAACTGCATTGACAAAGAATTGTGTGAAGTATTGTGGTTTGTGTAGCTTTGCAATTACGTTAATTTTGTAACTTTCAATCCCTCTTGTTGAGTAACTCAGATCCTGTGCCAAATTAGTCCCCTTCATTTTCCTTTTTTCAGAAACAAGTTGTGAACACAGTGTTCACTATAAGCTGACCTGTTGAAATTGTCAGCAAACAGATGCTTATTTACAAATCTAGCAATTAAAAAGTATTAGCAACATTAGCATCTGTTTAGAATTGGACATCTGGTGATTTGGGGAATGCAAGTCCAATATTCACTCTTTTTTTTTTTAGCCAAAAATGATTTAGTTGCCCTTGAAATGATTCAGTTTTACAATTTTACCTAAAACATGACTTCAGACATTCGTGTTTCTGTGTGATGTTTAAATAAGCAACCTTTCGCTGCCACATTTACCACAACAACCTTCTAAATGGGTACTAGTCAACATTGTGCTTACAGCTTGTTCCGCAAATGGCCAAAACCAAAAAAAAAAAAATAAAATTCACCTAATGCGGCTCTAATCATGTTTGCTTCTGTCTATGAACTGTAGTGGAGCCAGAGATCAAGCTGGTGGGTAACATGCATGGCAACGAGGTGCTGGGCCGCCAACTGCTCATCTACCTGGCCCAGTACCTATGTTCAGAGTACATGCTGGAAAATCAGCGAATTCAGACCATCATCAACACAACCCGCATCCATATTCTGGCTTCCATGAACCCCGATGGCTATGAGTTGGCCGCCTCAGAGGTAGAGGATAGAAATGACCCGGAGCTCAGCCACCAGGAAGTAAATATTGTTAACAGTCAAAAAAAGACAAACCGCCATTATCCGTTCTCAGTCCACTTTCTGTTTAGTCTGCTCAGTTTGGGGTGTGGAGGTGGAGGAAAGAGGGCGTCTTCAGATTCTTAATGCAGAAGTTTTTTACAACGTTGTCTGTGCGTTGTGAAGTGGGACGCCATGGAGCAACCTTCTGACAATGTTGTAGCAGTGAGTTTTGTGAGCTACTGATTTTAAAGTATCCAGGAAAAAAAAGAAAATTAACATTACTATCTTATGCTAAAGGTTATGCAATGGCCTTATTGCTCCATCTATAGTAACTGATCAAGACAATTGTGGTGTAACTATTCAAAAGGTAATGTAATTATTTTTTTATTCAGATACTACTTTACTTCAACTACTTTTATGTCTTAATCCTGGTAAAATTGCTAAAAATGGAGGTAAGCAATCAGACTAGTTAAGATTTCCACCTCCTGCCTGCCTGTCTGTATTTCTATCTGCACAGTCTTACTAATCCAAGACCGATCCTCCCACTACCAGACAGTATTAATCATAAAGTCATCAACTAGTCTGTGATAGAAATGTTTGCCTTGATTATAATCTATTTATTTTTGATTTCTAATTTGAGTCTTTTTAACACTTGACGATATGCTTATGTAGCATTTCTGGAGGTGGGAAAACTCTACACATAATATTTTACTAACCAGAGAATTCAACACTAATCACCACTCCACTGATCTGCTGAAGTCTCTCTGCCCTGTCTTTATCCTACTGTGCATTATACTGTAAGACTGTCCAGATCTATTCTCTGTGGGCAATGTGACAGGCCCGAAAAGACTGGACTTCTACAGTGTCATCTACTGATCCCTTCCATGTGCAGTATAACAGTACTAACAGAACGTCTGGTCACAATATTGTGCATTTATTCACTAATGCCTCAGGCCGTGTCACTGTGCAGCTAATGGGCTCGGCATGCATATATGCTGTAGACTGATCATATGTTTGCTCAAATGTATGTAGCAGCCATTTGCAGGTCACATTGCGAGGCCCACTGCGCAGAGCTTTGCAATCTAAAATGTACTCTGGCCACATTGTTCAGTGGAAACCACAGTGTTACAGTGTGCATGGGTTTTACTCTGGCAGACTGTCTGATTGCGCTGGCCTGTGCGATTCACAGTTCATACAAGGTTGACACATTAATGAAAGTGTGCAGAATATTGTACCTTTTATTAATATGATCATATTGTAAATCAACTGTGTACTATTTGTTTATGATACTGTGAATTGCATGAGTTGTAATTTTCAGTCATACTTAATATATACAGTGCCTTGTGAAAGTATTCGGCCCCCTTGAACTTTGTGACCTTTTGCCACATTTCAGGCTTCAAACATAAAGATATAAAACTGTAATTTTTTGTGAAGAATCAACAACAAGTGGGACACAATCATGAAGTGGAACGAAATTTATTGGATATTTCAAACTTTTTTAACAAATAAAAAACTGAAAAATTGGGCGTGCAAAATTATTCAGCCCCCTTAAGTTAATACTTTGTAGCGCCACCTTTTGCTGCGATTACAGCTGTAAGTCGCTTGGGGTATGTCTATCAGTTTTGCACATCGAGAGATTGAAATTTTTGCCCATTCCTCCTTGTAAAACAGCTCGAGCTCAGTGAGGTTGGATGGAGAGCGTTTGTGAACAGCAGTTTTCAGTTCTTTCCACAGATTCTCGATTGGATTCATGTCTGGACTTTGACTTGGCCATTCTCACACCTGGATATGTTTATTTGTGAACCATTCCATTGTAGATTTTGCTTTATGTTTTGGATCATTGTCTTGTTGGAAGACAAATCTCCGTCCCAGTCTCAGGTCTTTTGCAGACTCCATCAGGTTTCCTTCCAGAATGGAACTTTGGGGCGGTCTTGTATTCCTTCCTTCAAGCTCAGGTTCTCTACCAGAGGCCTGGGAGCTTGATGGTCCTGTCCACTATTGCTGCTGTAAAAGAAATTTCCCCACTGTGGGATCAATAAAGTAGCTACTCTACTCTACTCTACTCTGTGCAGTATCTTAGCTGTTCCTAGCACTGCACTCTTCTGGATAGAGATCTCAAATGTTGCTCCTGGGATCTGTTGGAGCCACTCAGTTTGGGGGTCACAGCCTCCAATGTTCCCATTACCACATGGACTGCTTGTGCCTTCACCTTCCACAGGTATATATATGCAGTATTTATGAGTACTTTACTCTTATTTTTATCTCTTTTCCTAATGCACATTCCTTGCTTGTTGATATGTACATACACATTGAGAGCCAATGTAACAGAGTCAAATTCCTTGTGTCAGTGGCAGTTTTTGGCATAAACAAACCAGGCAGCCGCCCGGGGTGGCATTTTTTTATGACACGTGGGGGGCGGCACAAGCACTTGGAAAGAAAATAATCTGCGCCACTAAGCAGTTTTCTATTATCTATCATATGTGGTGCCCCTGCTTGATGAGAAGGTGCCGTGCACAGAAGCTGTGTGAGAGGTGGAAAGGGGAGGGGGCAAGTGCGCAGGATGAGAGTTCACCTCTCCCAAATCCACTTAGTAGGCTAAACTAAGTCAGTGACACCTTGACTTTCTTCCAAATAATGCATATTTCATTCATAATATTATAAACACAGACCTACAATTTGCACATTTTTGTTTTTTCCAAATTGTGTGAAATGGCTAATAAAAATAGGTAATACAAGGTGAATTGGTTTAGTCTTGACTTCTGGTCACGAGTGACAGTGTTGGGGGATGGGAAAGCTGATGATTGTCGATTGCAAAAAAAAAACAAAAAACTGAGCGATGGAGAGAAAAAGGTCAAAGCTGTCAGGTGCCCAATTTAGGAAAAAGAGAAAAGAAGAAGAGGAGAAACGAGCAAAGGATAAAGGTATGCAACCAGAACTGTGGTTTTCAAATGTTCTGTTGAAGGATTTGTGCAACTGAGAAAGAAGTTTGTCTTACACTTATATTGTTAGAGTAAAACATCACTGTGCAAAATGTAGTGTTTTTTTCCCTTGGGGGGGGGGGGCCCCTTTAAAAAAAATATTTAACTATATCATGTGAAATATGCTATATATACTGTATAAGACCGGCTTCACCGTACTAAATTAGAAGCTATAAGATAATCTTCCAGAAAAGGGCGCTACTGCAACTACATGAATGCCAAGCACAATATTCCGCAGAAGAAGATGCCAGCTGCGTTACAACCTCATAGAAGAAGAGACAGCAGTAGTGTCGTGACTAGACCAAGGTTATCCCGAAGATACTGGAGGATAATATGAACAGCATTTGACAGAAACAGAGTGATATCCTGTCTTGGTAAGATGTGCAGAAGCTCGTTGTTACATAACGCGTTTCATCGGCATTGCTACTGTATGCTAGCATCTTTAGCGAGTGGGCTAATTGCCAGTATTCACCAATGTGATGCTAAGTGACACTTGTTAGCTGTCACAGCTAACGTGAAATGTTATTCTCTGCTTTCATTTCTTCAGATCAAGATGAGCGTCCCATGTTTATTGTCCCACAGACCCCGCTGCGCCAGCCAGCTGTGTTCCGCTGTCAGTCTGCTCTGCTTCGCCTCAAGGTAAGGATCGGTCCGGTCAGCTGTCCGCTGAGACCCAGTAGAGAGTGACCACAGGGGAACCACGTGTCTGAGGCCGGTAGCTTGAAATGTAAACACATGCATCTAAAACTGTCCATAATATTGTATAAGACAGAGGGGTAGTGCGATAAGGTGTGGATGAGCTGGCCTCATTAATGCCTCTGTTAGAGGATACTGAACATTCAAGGCAAGTGACAAACACGCTTATTTTTATTAGGAGAAATATGTCCTCCAAGAGACAAGTGGACCATCTAGAGAGAACAGCAAGTAACTCCAGGCAACATGTAAGTTATTTTGTCATGAATATGTTCATCCTGACCTGATGACATGCTGACAGCCCAACCTTAGACAGTTAACCTCTTCTTAAACTCCAAACAGGTTCTGTATCCAGGTCAAGTATGTGGAATGATGAACGAGTCAGAGACAGTAAGACGTTTGAGAATAGCTGTCCAGCCAGACTTCAGCTTCAAAGCAGGACAGTGGTGAGTAGATGCATGTACATGTTTCAACAACTCATTAAAGTTTATTTTTTTATTTAAACAGGTGTCACTGAGTTGTGACACCTGAGGTATTGCACTAATTAGACCATTAGATGTGTTTCATTATTATTTTGTGACTTATTTTCTTGGGACAAATGAGTGAAAGTGGTGGTGTATTTCCATAAGACAAGAATTGAATGTGCATGCCTTTGGGTTGTGTGACTACAAGGCTAGTAAAAAGCTAGTTCTCACTTCACTCAGTTCACTTTATTCATAAAACAGAAATAATCAGTAAGTGCCGAACTCTATTCAGGTTACTACTTGATCTTGCTTTGTGAAACATGAGTCATTTCATAATGTCTGTAGTACTCGTAGTAACCACAGCGTGGTGATGTTTTATTTGTTTAGGCTTTATGGGATTTTAAAATGTAGACAGCAAGCATGTTTTCTCTACAATCTTATATCCCAGTTGATATGAAAGACAGCTCAAGAATATGGTTAAGAAGAAAACGGTGTTATCAATGAATGTATTATTTAGTCAAAAGTAATAATTCCTTAAATAAAGAAAATCCCAGTAGTTACTGGGGTATTTGTAAACTGGAGTTTGCCCATAGATTTGTGTATGTAGGTGATGGCTGGATGTACTGGGTTGCTGAAATTATGACATGAAATGTTGAATGTGCCTGTTACTGATGGATAACATTGGAAAAATGTTTTAGCTGTCACTCTAAACTCCAGTTATTCTTTTATTATAATAACAGCCATCTAAATACATCTTATATTTTGTTGCGAGTCTGTATCTGTTGGTGAGCGCCGACGGCATTAATCAGAGCACTGTGCACATGCGGAATATGTACATGAGTCCATACTGTAGGTGGGTGGTGGTGAGATATAAAAAACTGGCAGCCAGTTGCCCTGTGGCAACTGATAAGAAATTTAAATAGATGGAAACATTGTAATTTCATTGTTTCTGAGAGGAAAAAAAGAACAGTTTAGTCACTGGTCTCCAGGTGGGAGAGGAGGAGGAGGAGGAGGTGGGTGGAACATATGCGTGTCTTTTCACAGCAGATCCATATTTATGATGCTTCTGAGGGCTGTGGAGTCAGTTTCTTAATGTAGTCATTGTGTTGTTGGAGCATTGGCCTCACTGTTTAGCAGCTGTTTTACTCTCGGGGATGGGGTGCGGTGGGGAGGTATTCTGCTGCAACTGCATTGGGTATAAAACTGGGATGCTACATGCTGAATAGACTACTGTAACTAGCAGGCATCATTCCACCAGGTTTGGTTTTGTTCTACTTGCCTAATTTCAGCACATTTTTGTTATACAGAATTTCAACTTCACAGGTTTTAGTCAGGTTCCAGCATTAACTTCTGTGAAAAATCAGTTGATTAATTCATTAAAATTAATGAACAACTTGTGTTTTGTCAATGTAGGGTGGATTTCTTCATCCCTGGTGTGGAGAAGGTTGGAGGTTTCTCCATATGTTCCAGCCCAGGTTTGCTGCAGAGGGAGGGCGTTATTGAGCTGGCGGTCAAATACAGCAAACACCCTCCAGCACACTGGGTCCACACCATGGTGAGTGGGACAGTCACCTTGTGTTTGACATACAGGTGCTTCAGAAAGCATTCAAACACCTTAAACATTTCCCCTTCAGTCTACAGTACAGTGAATAACCCACAATGATGAAGTGAAAACATGGTTTTAGACATTTTTGCAAACTTATTTAAAATCAGAAACCAAAATCTCTCATTTATAAAAGTATTCAAGTATTCAATTTAAAAAGCATAGATCAGGTTTTTCCTAGAGTTGATGTACAACCAAACTGAGTAACTGGGTAAGAAGGGCCTTTGTCTGAGAGGTGACAAAGAACCCAACGGTCATAGAGATGTCCTCTGCAGAGAACCTGTTTGAAGGACGACCATCTCAACAAAACTCCATCAGTCAGACTTCTATGTTAAAGTGGCTAGATGGAAGTTAATCAGTCACAGGTGTGCCTTCTGATTATGGATACAGTCTTTAACCGAGTTTAAAAAGCAATAATAATCTATAATCAAAGAGGATAATAAAGGGTACAACAGACAAGTTATAGTGTCACACTTTTTTGTTGTTTGTTGTTACATGTGTAAGGGATGAGCCACACATTTGCTTGTTTTTCTCACTGCTGCTAGTAGGTAAATCCCCTCCAAACATAATGATCATCAAAAAGTTATTGTCCTTTGATTCTGTAACATACGGGGGAGTTCTGTCTTTGTCTAGGACAACCTTACTCCACAGGGCCATAAACTCCTTCTAGTGGACAAGTCCCTGGAGCATTGTTTGTCCATGGTGCCTAGAAAGAAAAACTTTTTTTTTGTTTTGTGTACAAGCACAATGTCCAGAAGGTTTTAAGATTCTAAGACTGAACAGACAACATTTTTGACAGGAACAAGCAGCTACTACTAAGGATCATATAACGCCTGGTAACTCACCTGACTTTGGGTGCAGCATCCACTGACATCTGGCTGACAGCAACGACATAATGCTCTGCGAAGGTCTTTCCCACTGTCAGCATCCGATTGTCTCCAACAATGTATGCTAGGTGTTGGAGGTGCTGTGCTTTGCGTTCCCTCACTGTAGTACAACAGTGGCTGGAGAAAGACAAAGATGGTGAAACATCAGATAAATCCTAATAATAATTGTATTTAATGAGCATTTAAAGTTGCTGCTACTGTAATTCCCACTAATTTCTTCTCATACCTCAACCCTGTGTTGAGTAGAGTGGTCAAAACTGATTGGGGATTTTTAAGGCTCAGTTGAGGATCATCAGTCACGGCTTGAGAGAATGAAACATTATTGGTTTGTCCAATACAGAGTCATGGGGGGCTGGTTTTCTTTTAGACTGTTTCCAAATCCGGTGACAGGACCAAGTCACTCTCATGTACTCACAGTTCAAAGTGTTTATTTGTCATATGCACAGCTAGGAAACGTGTTTCCCTGTACAATGAAATTCTTACTTTGCCGTCCACATGAATGCCACATAGTACAAGTGAAATATAAATGTGCAGGTCTACACAGGGTGAATAGAGGTTGAAAACCTGTCACTATCAAAATCTAGAAAGATCTTTGTAGCTAATGAGTAACATTCCATTCACCCAGTTATTCAAGTAAGTTATCAAAGTATTTTTTTAATCTAGCGTGTGAGTTTTTGTATGATGTTTACTTCAAGCTCACCATTCCCTTTCTGTACTCTGCATGTTTGTAGCTTCTGTTTGATGAAGATGAGATCCAATAAACAGCTCTGAGCTACTGCACCGTGTGTAAATAAGTAACAGAAAGCGGTGTGATGTGTTTGATATTGTGAGGAAGGAGTAGCGGAGGGCCTGTGACAGCAGATCAAGAGTACAAGCATTATTAAGTACATACGTGTGTGTACAAAGTCAGGCGAAGGCATATTTATTTTTTCTTTTGACTTCAAAATTGCTTTCACTCATACCTTAGGAGTGGTTTGCTGTGTGTGTGTGTGTGTGTTGATTTAAGTGTCTTCTTTACGGTTTCCTGAGGCTCCTCAGAAGTGCTTAAAGAAATACTGTACTTTTCATAGAATATATTTTCATGTCTCAAAGGTGTAATTGAGTTGCTGAGCACACAGCAGTGCTGGAGGTCTGTCACTATCACCTGTCTTTTCATTTCTGTGCATATTTTGAATGCTTTCTCCTCTGTCCTACATGGCAGTGTACAGCAGGCTCCCATGTGGCCATGCGTGTCGGCGGAGACTTCTTCTTCCACCCTTTGCCTTCTGATCCTTCTGTGGATTTGCTGCTGGTGGCCGGCGGCGTTGGGATCAATCCCCTGTACTCTATTCTGCTTCACGCCACAGATCTGCTCCATCTTAACCGTGTATCAGGTGGTCGGGACTACAACATAGGGTCTGCTCACCTATGCTACAGTGCCAAGAACACCCAGGAACTGCTGTTTAAGGTATGGTGTTCATGCAGTACTGCACTGGTCAAAGATTGATGTCTGGATTTTTAGGAAACTGATTTGTGACTTTATTGTAGGAGAGTGTGTTTACATATATGTCTGCAATATACAGGAGGGTGTGTTTCAGCATATAAGGAGACATTTTATAAGAAATGCATTACTACTTACCTTCTGTGTTCCCAGCACTCCATCATTGACGTGTGCCGGGAGTTTCCTGACAAGGTCTCTTGTAACTTCCACGTCACACAACAGAACACAGACGTCGAGCCACACATCAAGCCATTTGTCAACTGTAAGTCCAAACAAACGCACCGGGCATGATTGAGTGACTGTCATATTGTTCCACGGTCTGTCTTTGTTGATTTATCAGTGTAGAACAGCCACCATCAAAGCTCCACATGCGAGACTTGGATGGAATAGGTAACTGATCAACTTCTCTTGTGTCTCCCCTAGGTGGGAGAATCACAGAGGAGGAGCTGCGGGCTCACGTGGACCCACAGAGGACTTTGTGTTACTTGTGCGGGCCCCCACCCATGATCGAAGCAATTTCAAAAACCCTCAGGGACCTCAGCCTCACAAAAGAGAGGATCATTTTTGAGAAGTGGTGGTAGAATCTCCTGCAGGCCCCAGAGACCTACAGGGTTCTCCTCCTGGCTCTGTACTGCATGGAATGTATGAGAATGGAATCAGCTGAAATATTTCACTGATATGGACACTGAGTCCGCAGATACTTGAAGAAATGTATCCTGTGTCTGATCTATAATAGGCAGACGGTACCACCCAGTCTTCAGCTGGTAGCTGACTCACAAAGACAGTGGAGACGTTTTACTTCTTATTATCTAAACAAGATGACAGCAAATGCTCAACATGCTGAGCTCTTTGCTTCACTGAATGTCTCAACAGTTCTGTAAATTCAGAGCCCTGCAGGTTTACTGCATGATTAATTGTACACATCTCCCAATTCAGCCGCGTTTCCAGTCTGAAATTTTTCTTAAATTAATAGCTGGTATTTGGTTTTACCCAAAAATTTCACCTAAATGTTTACACACTACCTATCCAAGCATGTGTTAACCCTGTAAAGCCCAACATATCAAAAAATAGCCAGAACATTCTAATTTTTTGGAACTGAGATGTTTATTAAACCTTTTAACAAAATCCAAAAGAAAATTCATGATTTTTATTTGCCATATATGCATAGACAGACAGTCCAGGCATATAGGAATAGAGGTGCCATATTATTTAGATAATTTCTATTTCTTTTGTATCACATTTGATACATGGGGGATTTTTGGATGTTTTTTTTTTTTTGCTCAGAAACCTCACGTATCAAATATGATACAAATGGTTTTATAGGCTTAAAGCAACAGTTCATTTTTGGAAATGCGCTTTCTTGCTAAAAGATTGATGTCACTCTCATGGACGTAGGATAACTGAAGTGACAGCCAGCAAAAGGTTATCTTAGCGTGGCATAAGGATTGAAGACAAGGAAACAGCTGGCCTCCCTCTCTTTAACAGTAACACAATCTGCTTATCAGCTCCATTATCATTAGTTTCCTTCATACAAAACCAAAATATAAAAACAATTTGTGGTTTTATGGAGAGTTGTGTCGAATATTTTCCATCAGGCTACTGCACTCAGACAAAACATAAGAACTGCAGCTTGATTTTACAATTTCTTTGTTACTGATTAAACAAATAAGCTATAAAGTGTCAGACTAGTCTCTTCCTCCTCTTTCAAGTCTTTATGCTAAGATAAGATGACCTGTCTGGCTTCACCTAAATATTAATCCTATATACATGAGTGGTATCAATCTTCTCATCTAACTCTTGCCAAGAAAGTGAATAAGCATATTTCTCTAAATGTTAAACTACTGCTTTTAAGTTATATGCCTATTGAAGATGAGTGGACATTATAGTGGTTGAGACTGTAACTTTATACTGAATGTTTCAGTGACTAATTCTCTTTTCTCAGAATACCTCTGTTAATTTGATCAAATGGTTTAGAAGTGTTGTACCATATATATATACAGTCTTATGCAAAAGTTTAGGCACCCCTTGATAAATAACAGATTTTGGTGATTTTTTTATTTGAACAGATGTGGGCACCCTACACAATCAGTACTTAGTAACACCTCCTCTGGCAGATATCACAGCTTGCAAACGCTTTTCATAGCCAGCTAAAAGTCTTTCAATTCTTGTACTTGGGATCTTCTCCCATTCTTCCTTGCAAAAGGCTTCTAGTTCTGTAATATTCTTTGGTCGTCTTGCATGCACAGCTCTTTTAAGATCTACCCACAAATTTTCAATGATGTTTAAATCAGGGGACTGTGATGGCCATTCCAAAACCTTCAGCCTGCGTCTCTTGAGGTATTCCATAGTGGATTTCGAGGTATGTTTAGGATCATTGTCCTGTTGTAGAAGCCATCCTCTTTTCAGCTTCAGCTTTTTTACAGATGGTGTGATGTTTGCTTCCAGAATTTGCTGGTATTTAGTGGAATCCATTCTTCCCTCCACCCGTGCAATGTTTCCTGTGCCACTGGCTGCAACACAACCCCAGAGCATGATAGATCCACCCCCATGCTTAATAGTTGGCAAGGTGTTCTTTTCATGAAATGCTGCTCCTTTTTTTCTCCAAACATGCCTTTGCTGATTGTGTCCAAAGAGTTCTATTTTAACTTCATCAGTCCACAGCACTTGTTTCCAAAACGCATCGGGCTTCTGTAGATGTCCTGTTGCATACTTCAGACGTTGGATTTTATGATGGGGACGCAGATAAGGTTTTCTTCTGCTGACTCTTCCATGAAGGCCTTGTCTGTGCAAGCATCGCTGCACAGTGGAACGGTGCACCACCACTCCTGAGTCTGCTAAATCTTCCTGCAGGTTTTTTGCAGTCAAATGGGGGTTTTGATTTGTCTTTCTGACCAGCATACGAGCAGTTCTGTCCGAGAGTTTTCTTGGTCTTCCAGATCTCATCTTGACCTCCACAGTTCCCCTGATCTGCCATCTCTTAATTACATTTCTTACTGTGGAAACTGCAAGCTGACAACGCTTTGCTATCTTCTTGTAGCCTTCTCCTGCATTGTGGGCGTCAATAACTTTCATTTTCAGGGTCTTACACAGCTGCTTAGAGGAACCCATGGTTGCTGGGTGTCCACAAGTGTGTGCACAAGGTTTGAAGAGTCAAAGTATTTGTACAGCTTTGAAATTGGCATTTACCAATGACAGCTGTTGCTGTGCATCAGATCTAACGAGCTGATTAAGGTCTGATACCTTGTGAGAGACTTTGAGACTCTGGAACTCTTAGGGTGCCCAAACTTTTGCACCATGCCATAATAATGTTTTTATTTTTTATTTTTGTTCAATTTATGGCATAAGAAGTAACTATGCATCACTGTTTGCAGAAAATATTGTGCATTTTTTCCATTTCCAAGAGAAACTGTGTTAACATCTGTTCAAATAAAAAAATCACCAAAATCTGTTATTTATCAAGGGGTGCCTAAACTTTTGCATAAGACTGTATATATATATATATGCTTAGTGGAATAATAACCCAGAGCTATTTATTAGCAGAACTGAAGACTGTAGTTGGTGTTACATTGGCATGATTGCTTCCACACTGTTCTCAATTGAAAACTTCACACCTCTGGTTATTTTTAGTCCGACTTTATCTCCTACACAGTAGATAGTGTCCCTGCCTGTTTTAGTGACTCGCACACTGTTACATGCGTACACAGTGCCTGTCTCACATACACTGTTTCTCAATCAGACATCTACATACCCATAAACAGTTTCTCATCCCGGTGTGGAGGAGTATCCCATGGCGCACTGTAATGGAACCTCCAGGTGGTCTCTGATTGGCTTGGATCATTGAACATCCCTCAGAGATATTTGCGAGCTTCTTGACATCGTCTCTGTGGGGGTCGCACCATTGAGACTAATTTTCAAGTTGCTTCTGCATTTCTTCTTCATATGAGGAAAACGGTTAATGCCAGTAACATTTGATTTAAGAAAAACAAAGGAAATTGAGTAAGGCTGTTTTTTTTTAAACACTTTATTGACCCTGCCTGTATATAAAGAGTTACATGTCACATTATACATAAAACAGGTGACCTAGGAAATAAGTAATACAGTAAATGGTTAACTTCTAATATACACAGTCTGAAGAGGAAACCCTTCAACAGTCAGTCCACCCAAATTACAAAAAGGCATTTTCTTGTCTTCTGTAGTATCTACCCCAGCCAAATACAACTGAGGTGAATGGAAATAATTTTTAGGAGCTCCCAGCGTTTTCAAAATTAACTGCAAACTATAACCCAGAGTAACAAGCATATCATTTCTGGAAAGAGATGGGGTTTTTTATCTCCCCCTTTAAGTTTTGTGAGCATCACAAATATTAATATCTTTAAAACTGGCCAAAAAAACTAAAATTTTCTTTGAAGGTGACATGTAATTGGGACCCACTATTCTTTCTTCACTGACACTGCTTCTGATTTGTGATGCAAAATGACATGGACAAAAATATTGGGACTCTTAACCTAATAGTTTGTAGCACCCCTTGTGGGGCAATCACTGCAATCAAGTGCCTTAATGAGACAGGTACACTTGTCAACTGGTAGTTTGGCCCAGTTCTTGAGCAAACTGCTCCATTTCTCAGGTTCGATGGGTGCCTTCTCCCATCTGTAACTTTTAGCTCTTTCCATAGATATTCAGCTGGATTAAGATGAGGAGTCATACCAGACCACTTCAGAACCGTCCCGTCTGTACTTGCTGCTTTTCGATGGATGTTTTGGGTCATTACCCTGTGGAGGAGCCATGAACTGCGACTGTGACTCAGCTGTCTGACACTGGGTTGTACGTTTCTCTCCAGAATGTCCTGATAATCTTCCCTGCACTGATTCAAGGCGCACCCTGTGTCAGATGCAGCAAAGCAAGCCCACAACATAACTGAGCCTCCTCCTGTTTCACAGTGAGGACGGTGTTCATTTCTTTGCAATCTTCATTCTTTCCTCTGTGAACATAGAGCTGATGTGACCAGAAAGATCTCATAGTGTTTTACTGGTCCACAGGACAATTCTCCCAGATGAACTGTTGCTTGTTTGAGTGCATTTTAATAAACTCTGGTTAGTTTTCATGTTTCTCTTTCAAAAGTCTTTCGTGGAGCCCACTTGCTTTCAGAAAGTGGAGCATGGCGTGACTGAACACATGTGTACCTTGATCTTGGAGCTCAGCTTCCATCCGTTTGAAGTGCTCCTTGATTCTTTTTCCACCATTTGACCAATCTGGGGTCAGTTTTCCTCTTGCAGTCACATCCAGAGTGGATGGCTATAATCCCATGGATGGTAACTTCTTAATAGTAGCATGTGGTCAAAGGAACATCAGCTGCTTGTATCCTTTACTTTGACTATTCTTGGCAGGTGTTTTCTTACTTATGTCCTCTCTTCTTTCTCTTGTCTATGTTCATTGTGGTGTACACAGTGATACCAAACAGCACAATGAAAACTTTTGTTTAGAAAGAACAAAACATTGCATCAATGAGGTGTAATGGTACCAACACTTTTAGGAAAGTCTGTATCTATATCTGAGCTAAAAAGTAAGCCACTTTTTTGGCAATTTACATGAAATCAAGGCCCAGTGAAATGCAATATAACACTTCAGTGTAGTTTCAGAGCCTGGCTAATACTGTTTTCTTTTTTGTGTTTTTTTTAACCAACCAGTTTGAATATTTAAACATCTGAACTAAATATTATCCAACATGTTTTAAACATTTCTAAGTTTCCCTTAAATTGTGACAGAGTCATGCTGAGTTACATATTTTAAAGTAAACTCCTTCCAATGGACAAATTATGTAATGGCAACTGTTTATAAATGACCTTTGGCTTATCTGTACTAAAATGTCTTATTTTTTGCTTGACATATAAGCAAAGACCAATATATCAGTCCTGAGCTAAATTAAGTTAGTGCAGATGTACTACATGCTTTCTGGTAGTGTCTTGTTTCTGTCTTAATTCATATACTTTACATATAAAAATACAAAGAGCTTAAATCAATACTTCCTTTTTAACAACCTTATTACAAGAAAGTAAAATGCAACAATAGGCAAGTAAATAAAACTTAAAGCTTGGAGTGGAGACTTGATCTACGATGTACTGTATAGTCTTGTACAGTCTCCTTTCATTTCATATACAACGATCAGCCATAACATTTTGACCACCTGCCTAATACTGTGTACACACAGGAGTCAGTGTGGCAGTTGGTTGGCACCCTGTGTATGACAGTGCATCTTCTGTGAAGTGAGCATCGTCAGTTCACTGTTTGTCCTTCCTTAGCTACTTCTGGTAGGTACTGACCACTGCAGACTGGGAGCACCCAACAAGACCTGCAGGCTGAGAGACCCAGTCATCCGCCATCACAGTTTGGCTCTAGCCAAAGTCACTCAGATCCTTATGCTTGTGTGTTTTTCATGGTCCTGACACATCAACTTCGAGGACTGAATGTTCATTTGCTGCCTAATATACCCCACACACTGACAGGTGTCACTGTAATGAGATAGTCAGTGTTATTCAATTCAACTGTCAGTGGTCATAATGTTATGGCTGATCAGTGTTAAATACAAATCAAAATGCAACACTGACTCAAAGCAGAACCACTGCACAACACTTTCCCAGAGGCTACAACCTCAGAGATACTCTTTAACATCCTAAACAGAGAAGACTGGATCTGCAACAATATGTGAATATATAAATAAAGTATATGACTGACTACATCTGGGTTGTCCACAGACAAACTACAGTATAAATCCAGATCAACAAAACATTTCTTTTTAGTACAAACTAATCAGGTTTTAGCTTTCTTTTGCCTATTTTACTCCCAGTGTGTCAACAGACCCCAGAGAACAGCTGGTGTTTGATTCGCTCTTCAGTCTTCAGCTCCTTCTTGACCCCTCCCTCATTTCTCTGACACACATCTGTCCATCTCACAGACTTCTCTTGCTTGGACAGTTGGATCTTCTCAAAGTCAGTTTCCTCTTCCTGGTCTTCAACAGAAATCATGCTCCCTGATAGAAAAGAGAAGCCCCTTTGAGGCTCTGCATTCTCTGCCCTCTCCTCCCAACCTTTCTGAGGGGGTGTTCCTTCACTCCTTTCGCTATCTGGTCCCTTCCTCCCCTCTCTCTCCTCTTTTGTGTCTCTTCTCAGCCTGTCCATCTCTGTTTCCATCACTGGGGACCTGCTCTCTCTCTCCACTTCACCAGCAGAGCTTTTCTTTGCCTTGCTGCGACCCCTGAGGTTTAGCATCTGAAATCAAACAGATGTCTGAGACAGTTTTGTGCTTTGTGCTGTGTATTTTTTTTTTCTTCCTCTGTCTCCAGACACCTGACAAACCACAACAAAGCCTCTCTCATTGACGCCTCTTTCCTGTACAGTTTGAGGTCCAACTATTAGCCTATTATTAGATTGTTCCTGTGTGGGTTTATATTCGCTGTACATCCCATATTTAGTAACATGTCTTTTTAATGACACCCTCTATGACATAGTCTCGTATCCTAAAGGCACAGCAGAAACAACGTGACAGGTTTGTTGCAAAGGTGTAAGAAAAAAGGGGAACAAACCTTGAAGTCTTTTCTCTTGCGCTGCAAAATGGGTCTCTGAAGAAAGAGGATTTGCTTGGTTGACAAACTCCCATCACTGCAGAAAGAAAAGAGCTGCACTTTTACTACTGTTACTTGTTGTGTTATAATATGACGAGCCTGCATGTTTTAAAATCTAGTTTCTGTTCGCTGCGGTTTGTTAAGTGACAGGTTACAAGACAACAGCATTTCAGTTTTTGTTCTCTGCCCTGACAGATTTCAAAAGCGGTTTCATGTTGAGATCAGCATATGATCATGATTTGTCAGATCTTGAACCATTTGTCAGTTCTAATCCCAAAAAAAGAATGCGAGAGGTAATGTCTAGGACAAAACAAGATAATTACCCAAAAATCAACTAAGCAGTAATTAGTCTTTACTGGTTTCAGGCGATGTTATTCACTGTGACAGAATGCGAAGAAAAAGCAGGAGACAGATTTAGTAGACATGTGAGTTTAGGTGCAAGCAGTTTAGTATGATGGGGTTGTGTACCTGTTGGTCTTCACGATTGGTGTTGGCAACACACACATCAGCCTCCATCCATACGGAGCTAAAGACTGGAGCAGTGGAATGTAATCTGTCTTCACCACAACACCCTGTGCAGGAGAGCCAAAAGAATATAAATCATTTTTATTTTTTAAATCACACACACACCAGCAGTCTACAATCCCAAATACATGTATGGAGACAAATGCTGGAGAGAATGTACAAGGAAATGACAGTGAGCCTGCAGGTAAGGAAATTTAAGCTCAGCCACATGCACCACTTTCCTTCATATCCACTCTCATGTAATGTTTGACAGAACAGTTTAAGCCTTCTATCACAAAGGATTTCTCAAAGTGCACATCTTCTCCAGAGTATTAAAAACTTAAACACCCACATCAACAACGGTCCACTGCTCTACCACGATAGCATCATAAGAGGTGTTTTTGGTCTCTTCCGAAGAGCTCTGGAAGATGAACACACTATCCACAGATGATACCCCATTGTCTGGATAGAAACAGGACAAATTAGAGACAGAGTCAGTTAAGCTGAGGAGGAGGTATGTGATTCAGACAGGAGATAGGTCTCCACTCTCCAGTCTCTTACCCCTTTTCCCCATGGCTTAAACCTACTTATTCCACGGGTGGCTGCAGAGTAACTTACAGTGTAAGCCGCAGACTTACGATACAGTAACTCCATGCATATTATCCCATACCAGTAGTCAAGCAGGGTTCTACAGTCTGAGCAGCTTTTGCCTCTTGTCAAGCACTGGAGCAACTAAGCCAGTATGTTTTTAAGTAGCCAGTATGTGTTTTTAGCTATGAAAACTATTGGATTGTCATAAAATTTGCTACAGGCATTGATGCCACCTCCATTTAAATTGTATTAACCTTGGTGATCCTATAAGAATAGGATTGGCATAGCATAGCCATAGCCTCACAGAACTAGTAACCTCTTGCTAAACAGATGACATGTTCAATACCACTGTCTGTATGGTAAATATGAAACCAGGAAAATGGCTTATCATAAAGACCTATTCGATGAGGATAGACAAATGGTCTTTTGGGTGTTACTGCCACTCATGCTACCTTGATTAAACTACATCTATTTAGTGTATTCACAACTGCTCCAACCTTTTTTTAAAAAGATGAAAGCAATTCCAAAATGAAAACCAGGTCTCCACTGTCTGTGGCCATGAAACATACCATTAGCATCTCCAAGTTGAAAAAAACCATCAATCAGGCGTGCGCCGCTGGTGAAATGCTGGGTCATGTGATCAAGCCAGTGTGTGTCAACTTCTGTGATTAACCCTGCTTCCTTTTGTACTCGAAGTGGCACCCTGAGTGAGTAGAACCTTAGAGAAGTGTTCAGCTCCCCTGTGTGGTTGTACAGCGCAAAGAGCTGCATCCCTCCAGACACACAAACAAACAAAAAAATTCACAGTTGGAAAGCAAGTTCTGCTTTCTTATGATTTGTCAGACTGAGCAACAAATAGGAAATGGTTACTTACTGGCCTGTGCTGGTGGTGAAGTTGCCTTCTTATCTTTCTCTGAACTCTTGAGCCGGATATGGTTGTTGTTGTTGTGTGTTGTCACTCTGCTTTGCCTATCTGATGTTTTTTCAAGGTTGGGATTGAGTTCTGGAGAGCTGAGCCAGCTGTCTGAGCCTGAACCTCGTCTTTCTCTCTGGTTCTGAAGTTTAGAATGTTTTTCTGCAGGTTCTTCGAGGCATGGTAAACTACTGTCTTGCACTCTGACTGTACCTGCAATTTGACAGGAGCTGGGATGCAGCTGGTTCCCTAGGCCATCTGCCGGGTTTTGACATGGACACCATTGAACTGTGTCTTCACCAAGTTTCCTGTGATTTTGAGGTTGACGTGTTATTTCTGGTGACTCTTTGAGACTAATCTGTGAGGTCTGGATTTTTCCATTCGATTCCTCTGAACTCTGGGTGTGTTTCAGAGGGCTTAAGTCTGATTCTCTGTTACATTCTGCACCTTCATGATCTAACTCTGAAGGTTCAACAGGGTGATGGTCAGGTTCTACACCATTTTGATATGGTTCTGTTGGATCCGTTGGGCTGCTCTTGGTGCTGAAGGGGTGTCGATGTATGGGTGACGGGCTTGAATGCAAGGACGACAGCTCCTCGGGGTCACAGTGACCCAAGAAGCAGGGTCCACCACCTGGCTGCTGAAGAAAGCTGACAAACATCACTCCTTGCTCTGATACATCCTGGATCTATAGGGGTGATATAAACATACAGTGTTACCATCTACACACCCACCGACTCTATTAGAATCTAATTTGAGTGACACATAAATATAAAAAGACATGATTCACTGCACAAGTTCATCTGCACTGTCTTCCTCTATAGGCAAACAAACAAAACCTCATTTACACACAAACAAAGGCCGACATACACAGAGTAGATATTCTGCAAAATAACAACCTGCCTAATCATCTGCAAAGATCAAATATTCAAATGACAAAAGGACCTCATTATCTCAAAGCGTTTGTGTGGGTACGTGTGTGACAGTGTGTGCCTATGTGTATGTGTGCATGTGAGTGTCGCTCCCTCCCACGGAGCTTTTCTGGTTAATTGTCAGTTGATATTTGGGCTGACAGTTTTAGACAAGCTTCATGGGAAAGATTGCAAACTTCCACCAAACAATAACGAGACATGTTACCATATTACCCACTGTTTTTGACACTTCACTCATCCATACACACACAGTCTATTAGCATCAAATACTCACATAGTTTTGTGTAATAAGTACTGACAGACAGACGGAGTTGTTTTCATTCCATGGGGGGACTTTACATTGAGTGGCATTCCTTTCCTGGATACTTACCCTAACCTTAACCTGATCCTAATTTTAAACCAAGTCAAAAATTCTGTGATTCACATTGTGGGGACCAGTGTCTGGTCCCCACAATATGACTGTGTAACACCCCCACCCACCCACACCAGCCTGTCACTCTGTCTTCCTGGTGCTGCTCCTGGGTTCTTATCTCGAACTGTCTGGCAGTTTGTGATCTGATTGGTTATTCATGTCACGCTGCCGCAGCCTATCACATTATGCTCAGTGATGTGCATTTCCATCCAATCAGGTTTCCTTTTGTGCTCTCTTGGTGTTCAGATGCAAATCTATTCAATAGAGCACATTTTCATTACCCATTGTTGGAGTCTTGATGAATTCACGAGCAGAGAGACTAAAACTGAGGTTTACAGCTGATAAATGTCAGTGACGACATTGCGGTTGGCAAGGTATCTTAGGGTTAACTCTTGATATGCTTCCTCCTACCTACTGAAACGTTCCACTGATTATGTAGCTCATCTTGTTCTTTCTCAGTTATAGGAGAGTGAGCAGTGTTGTAAGTGATGCAGCTAGTTGGAATCTTGTAACCCCCCCCTAACCCCACCCTTTTTTTACAGCTAACTTGGGTGTAAGATATTACAAATGAACCCGATTTCTGATTTTTGCTCAGCTCCCTTCACAATGAATTACTAAATCAGATAAATTTGCAATATATAAAATGCAAATCCTTGAATCTAATTTGCTCCATTTGATTTGGAGAAGGCCTGCATGTCAGGACCAGAGGCAGAGTAACCACATGGCACAGACAAGCAATTATAGGCAGTCGCCTGTAGTCGTTTTGAGCCCTGAAATATTTCCTTCGCTGTCACAGCAGTGCAGCACCAACATGGCTATCAAACATAACATATTCTCTGTAGATACACTGAACCAACACATCAGATCAGTATCAGCACAGACAGTGGATTAGGTATTGGCCATGATGTGATCAATCCAGTTTCTTGGTCACTCATTATAAAATTCAGTGTTTCACCCCCTCCACTCAACTGTTAGCTGACTCAAGGACATTCTTTTTCATATTAGATTAGAAAAAATGAGAGTTTCTGTTAACCTTGAATATCAATCAACACGTCTGGGTCTTTCTTAATTTGACAGTGACTAGTTTTGTTGATTTTTTTTTTAAATTCTATTTCCTTTTTTCATTTACTGTCAGTTTCTCTATTCCCTCTTCCATTTTCTTCCAACCTCATGGGTGACCCCGCAGCTCTATGTGATAAGGTTTGGGCAGGTGGGGAGGTTAGGGCTACTTACACTGGATTAAACAAATAAGAAGTGCCATTTTAAAAATACTGATCTTGTTTCTGTCTTTAACTGACACACTGAGTTAAATTCATCAATGCATGTGTTAACCAGAACAAAGTAGTGATTTACTATCCCCCTGACTATATATGAAGAAATCTGACTTCTTTGCTTAATTAACATATTGAAGATCATCATAAGATTTTTTTATTTTTTTTATCCCAAACTTCAGGGAATCACAATTTGAAAAGAAATCCATGAGAAGTGAATAACATGAGCCCAAGCTACCTTTGTGGGCATGTCTCTGCAGCCCCTTCTACTCACCTTCTTGACATAGCTCTGGATCACCTCCGGGTCAGCAGCCTGGTGACCCGCCACACACACGTCTGTCTCGAGACGATGTCTTGCCCACCTCAGCTGGCTTTTCTCAGAACTACATGGTGAGAAATGTAAAACTGAATCAAATATTAAAGGTTTCAATCATATGTGATTTGCTTCAGTTCAATTCTGCTCTTATGAACCCAAAAATGTAAAATGTGCTCATACTGTTATTACCCAAGCCTGTTTCCTTTTCCTATTAGGTTCATTTCCCTATTCATTATCGCTGGAGTAGTTCCATCACACAATAACATTACAATCATAAATGAGCCTCGGCTTTATAGGTTCTAGTTTAAATGCTTATTTTCATGAGCACTCATTGGCCCAGAATGATCACAGCAGAAACATTATGTCAATTCTGGAACAGGGTGAATTTTTCATTTAAGGAGAGCACACATTCACCACAGTCACAATGGACTTATTAGACAGAAGAAGGGACTGAATTTGCTTTTGCTCCCACTGCAAGACGCCGTCATAAAAGGAGCATTCAGATATGCCTCTTCAGGTTTGGATTGAGGTCAGTGGGAAGGCCACGGTAATATCTTGTGCTCTGAGGCATGAATGACATTCTTAGCTAGATTTGAAATAGTAGATCTGTCTTATTTTTTCTTTCATTTTTTTGAGTTTTTGATGAAAGGGGATGGCGGTGATGGGGAGATAAAAAGCAGAGTAAAGGGGACGAAGGAGGGTGAGGAAGATGAGAGAAAAGGGTGAACACCCATTGCTGAAGAAAACAGATGAAAGAATAGAGAGATGGTTTCTCTCTTTCAGCGTGCCGTTCCCCTCTGGCGAGCACTGATGATGCAATCAGCCATCTCCACAGTGACAGGTGCCAGGAAGCAGCAGGACCACTTGGCAGGAGGGGCATCAAAGGAGCAGCCCAGCACCTGCCAGTGCACTAGTGTGTGGTGTGTGTGTTTTGTGTGTGAACATGAATACAATAGACTTTTTCTTGAATTTAGAACTCAGCAAGATGCCTAAGGATCAGAATCAGGTCATTTGTGACCTGAAGATGGCAGCAGCAGTGACTTCGCACAATTTCATGGCTATTCATCCAGTAGTTGTGCAGATATTTCAAAGTGGATCAAATTGGTGGAAATAGACATTGCCATCCTACTAGGTGGAAATTGGGAAAAGTAGCTTTCCCCACACTACACTAGTGCCAACAAATTGTTAAAGAAACCTTGAGCACATATCACACTTGAGATAAAATTGCAATAAATGGGCACTATTTAGACTTAGACTTAGAGGACAGGGCTAATCATTTTCTATATCGACAGTATTTTAAACAGTCCCCATACAAAGACTAAGACCAACAGTGATTTACCTCTACTCCTGGTTAATGTCCATCAGCCTGTGAATCCTGGATTAGCTTATTTGCCTGTGCCATAGACCTCCACTGTTGTTGAGAAAAGCTTAAAAGCATATCACGGGAACACACCGCTGCACTGGGTGGCATGTTTCATCATTATGAAACACTAGACCCAGATTTTTTTTTTTTTTTTCTGCCCCAGAAGCGCTGAAGGGCCATAATGTTTTACAGCATCTGAAGTAAGCAAGAGTCAAAGAGTTTCATAATAAGGAAATATTTCACTAAGTGCAGCAGTGTGCTTCTATGTTGTGTTTTTAATTGTTTTTGAGCAACAATGGAGGTCTGTGGCACAGACTACCTGGCTAACACCTGCTACACTTAATAAAGGATTGTCAAACTGACAGACATTAACTGTGAGTAGAGGCAAATCATTGTTAGTTTTAGCCTCTGTATGGGGAGTGCTGAAAATACTGTTGATTTAGAAAATGACCAGCCTTATCCTTTAAAACTGTAATGTTGGAATGGAGCCACAAATGAATCCAATGACTCGATGGTGTGAATGACTGAAAAAAAATATGAATGTGTTTCCCAAACAGCCTATTGTTATTGCTATTATTGTAAAATTCTTGCTAATAAAGATCCAAGTAAGAAAGTTTTCCCATGTGCTAATTTGAGCCTGAGAAAGTATACATGTTGAAACTTAAAGTCTTAGATGTTTCTCCATTTGAGTTTGGAGTATGTGTCAGTAACTACAATCATATGTTGCGAATACTAGGGAGGTATAAAAATATTGCTCTGCTTTTAGCGTTGCCAAAGCATAACTAACTGGGTTACAGAAGAAATAGCTACACAGTATAAGGGGTAGTCACACAGTACTGTGTATTATCACATACAGTCAAAAGTGAAAGAATTGGGACAGTCAGCTAAAGTTAGTCATTTTTAGGGCTGACTCATCTGCAATTAATTTTACATCAAGTAAAAGAGGTGAGATGCATAATTTAGCTTGTGATAATTGGTCTCATTTGGCTTCCATGTAAAACAAAAGCTGCAATTGTCTAAATCTGGTTGCAAATTAATCATATCATTTATCTTAATCAACTTGCAATATATATTCAAAACTATTTTCTTAAGTGAAGGTGATGCTGAAGACAAGGGTGTGTTTAGTTTGTGTACCTTGGCGTTTCTCGGACCAGCACTGCCCGGTGGAGCTGGCGTTGGATGTGTGCATGGTGAGGGCCACAGGGGTGGACAAACGGGTGGATGGCAACCAGGACAAAACCCTGCGCGTAGAGTTCTCTGACCTGAACTGGGAGCTCTCTGACCGAGGAGAGACAAAGCACAGATGACACCGGCACCTCTGGAGGGGGTGGAGGACAAGTGAGAGGGGAAGGAGAAAAACAAGAATCAGACAAGACAGGGTAATGAGAAATGGTCAAGACAAGGATGTGACAGGGAAAAGTAGTAGACAAGCTGGAAAAAAGAGGAGGATAAAAGAGGGGAAAGGGTGTGAAGGAACAAAGGCACAAAGCACGTTTCATTATGACAGTTCCCATTGAACAACACATGGCATCTTCATGCTAAATCTGAAACTAATTACACAGAACTATTAGCCTCTGCCCTCACTGCCAGAAGCAGTCAGACTTTTGGCAAATGCACACAGGTAGACAAACACAAGATATACACCTACTACAAATGCATGCTGGAAAGTGTTTGCCCATATCAACAGACAGACTTTTAACACATTTTCACCTACACTAACAGACTGTTTAATCAAATAGAGACCCACATACACCAAAACGTTTGATAGACAATGCTATCACATTACTTATTTGGGCCTATGTTATTAGCAGCAATCACCAACACAAACCTGGTTCCCTTATTGCCAATCACAATGGAAAACAAACCCCTTCACTTCTGTGGAAATGGTTAGCGGAGGTTATCGTATGGAAGCAACCTGTCACATCAAATGCACCAGGGAGACCATGTTGTTTGCAAGAACCACCCTCTCGGGGGTCAGTGCATTGTACTATAGTAAGGCTCTCTCTCTGTTTACAGGCTTTTAGGAGAACATGTGCATGTATGGCACTGTGTGAAGCCAGGTGTCTGTGAGAGAGGATGATAGAAAAAGATGAGAAGTAAAAAAACAAAAAGTAAACAAAAAGAGAGGCGGTTAGCAAAGCTGTGTTGGCGAGAAAGAGAGAGATGAGGCTGTCTGTTTGCGCCTGAATGCTTGTCACCCTTTTCGCCTCTCAATCTCATTTGCATGGGCCTGGAGAAGAGAAAATAACCTGAATAAATTAACCAGACACACACACACACACACAACATGGAATCAAGTTTTCAAGAGCAGGGAGGTGTAGTGTTATCAGTGTGAGTATAGGATCATAACTGTTCAGAAGAGCTTTTGAGCTGTGTGATGGTGCAGTTGTGAGTGTTGCTGTATGTGCAATATTTGTGTTTTTGTGACTTGAGAATGAGTGCACATATGTCAATATATATGGGTATGAGAGAGTAGGAACACGTGTTTGAGAGAGATACAGACTCAAGGGTGTATTGTTTAACAGATACAAGAAGCGGCTGCTTAGCTGTTGATCCCTGCTCTGTTATTTCAGTCTCAACCCTGAAGCTTTGACCACATGACAGCTGCTGCGTGTTGTGAGCGTCGCCTCACTTTTTGACCCCGGATTTCACAAGTGCGTTTGGAGTGTGAGAGTCATACTGCTTCCTGTAGTTGCTTGAAAATGCATATTAATTCCTTGAACAAAATCCCAGAATATGTGTGTGACTGTAAACCATATTTTGTGGGTTATCTGTGCTACTGTATCCCAGTGAGCATTTTTTTGCCTGTGTTGTCAGTGTGTGTGCACATGAGAAGTTTCAGTAAACCTACAATGGTGATGCATGGGGATTACTACTCACAGCCAATCTAAAGGCTTATCCATCTGCTTTCTGGGGGTTCACATTTATTTAAATAGACTTCTAATGACTTGCAAAGGCTTTAGGTGAGGATGTGTGGCAAAACAGTGACAATAAAATGATCAGCTTCTTGGAGCCAGTAACTCCCCCACTGTTTGGGAGAATGTAGCTGCAGGCTATGACAGTTGTTGGTCAGCATATGAGCTTTGTCAAATGGGGTCTTATCTCATCAGAGCACCACAAGAAACATCTCAGAAACAGCACTGTGTTAACAAAAACAGCTAACAAGTACAAGCGAGAGAAGTACGGTTTGCTGTGGTGAGAACACTGTGGCGCATAAGGCGCATACAGTATCATGTACTTGTGATGCTGTGAATTCCAGCCTGGCTCACTTTTGACACATTGTAGCTCTCTACCATCTTTGCTGGCATTCTCTACAGGCCCTTTTGCCAATAAGACTGAAACAACATTAAATGTTCATCCAGAAAAATGACTGAAACTATGTCAGATCAGCATTTTCAACAATCACAAAAAAAAAAAATGTGTTTACCTGGAAAAGTGTGCCAGACAGTGCAGATGTTGCAAACTGATGGATTGGTGCATCGCCTGCTTTCAGAGCCAAATACATCACACACAGAGCTTGATATATATAATGTGTCATCTAAGGCAGAAGGAATATATCACACTGTCAGCAAAGGAAACGTCTATCATAGCATTCAGGTAAGATCTCGTACACACACAAAGACTGAACTACACAGTATGTACATGAGCAACATACTGTACTGTAAACTTGGCCAGTTATGCAAAAGTACCTTAAAACAACCACAACAACATACACGTACTATTGAGCATTAGGCAATTATTGTATGTTTTAATGAGCTGAGTGGGTCTCCATCACTGCAGGGCGGCAGAAAGTCATCAGCAGAGTCGCGTTCCTCACTGTGTACTCCGGAGACCGGCATTAGTCACACAGCATCACACCCAGCTTACTTCTTCACACATCCGCAGATTCCTGACTCTCGCTCGCTCCTTCTCACACCTCTCTCTTTTCTCCTCTCCTCGCTCTCCAGATGCTCGTTCCCCTCCCCGCTCCAGACCTGACTAACGCTCGGTGTATCTTTCATTTTCATGAGCTGTTCATTCTCTCACCCTCTCTTCTACTACACCTCTTTGGCTGTATTCCTCCTCCCTTCTACTTTGCTTTTTTTTTTTTACCTCCCTCTTTTCTGTTCATGTTCTCCACTCTCTCCAGTTCTTCTGCTCATTACTGGAGCTTACACAGCTTGGACACAGAGGAGACTGGGTTAAAATGTCACACCTGGCTGTTACACTTCATACTCTACATTCAGGCTGACATTTCAAGGTAACCAGTCAATGCTACAATCAAGATAATGAAGATCACGGCACTTCTTGTAAAGGTGGCTGGTATGTCAAGGTGCTGCAAATTGGTGTTTAGAGAGTAATAAGGGCCCAGTAGAATAAGACACTGGTTTCAGGTTGTAAGATGCAATAGAGCTGAAAAAAAATCAAATAAATGATCCATAGGAGAAAGCAAAGGCCAAACACTTTGAAACACTGAACATATTTCTCCCTATCCTCCCTGGATTCACCACAGGGTTGCTGTGACCCAGTGTGATTGAGTTGTGCTTAGTCACGTGGAAACAGTTTCCTGCGGAAGCACTGCAAGAGCTCATAAACCAAAGGCAGGCTCTACATTATCAGCCACATTGTTTCTAGTGAGTTTTATCATGCAATGGTCAAAGGTTAAGTTAGAAACCACACTGCGCTCCTCTATAGTCTGACCATTAAACTCCACTTCCTGAGAGCACAACATAGTTCAATGAACAGCCATGTAGTCTCATATATGGGGGCACAAGCAAAGATGTTTGTCTTTCATTACAGTGTGGGAGTCATCAAGTCACACGGGCAAAGATATACTGCTATTAATGGAAGCCAAATTGAATTAAAGCATGGATTTGACCATGGATTTTCTCAATGTCATGTACTGAAATACAGGTTCCTCTATCTACATACACACATGTACACACAAATACAAATAAATCCCCTTGCTGGGGATGACGTCTCTCGGTCTCCACAAACAATCAGATAATCCTTCACTTCTCTTGGACTCTATGGTAAATGGAGGTGGGGATAGAGGTGGAAAGAGGCAGGCAGGTGTACACCCACTCACAGCCACACACACAGTAATGTTGTAGTGGCTGTGTTTATCCTAAAATAAAGTATACCCATCTTCAGCAGCTCAGGTGGCATCAGTGACTTTATCATATAAATGACCCACCTGTCTGCTGAATGATAACACTAACTCTATTGACTAAGTGCTAGAGAGACCACATACACATACAGGATGTGTTTCGTGTGTGTATAGTCCTCCTGTATCATACATGTGTGCTGCTGCCCATGCAATTAGCCACTTTATTTGAGAAAGACGAACAAGCTTCATGTCTTTTGTCACCACCACCATTTTGGGTTGCCAGAACTCTCTCTCAGCCAACACTACAGCCTAACCCATTTGCCAAACATAACAGGGATGGCTGAAAATGGGGCTGACTGGCAACCAAACCACTGCTACTTGGCTGTGGCACTGTGCCCGCTGTCTGTTACAGTGTTACATTTGAAGCTTGTCTATAAAGGATTTCAGAGAGCTATTCGCACCTGCTTCAGCTTGTCAGGTCACAGTGATGACTTGCAGACACATTAAGGCCTAAGAGAAAAGACAGGATTTATTTAAAAAACATATCTGCCTTAAAATGATCTGTTTCTCCTTTTTGTCTATCTCTTGTCCCTCGCTTCCTCACTCTTCCATCTTTTTACTGTTCATCCATATCAACACAATGGCAGAATTTGTATTTTTAGACACCATATGCCTCTAGAGGCTTCTCATCAAACATTCTCAAGGCACTGCAGACACACACACATTCACACATTATCAGACACACATTTTAAAAAATTTGACAGACACCCAGGTCCCAGTGTGCAAACACACATCAGCTTTAGTATATTGTCATTGTGCAAGAATGAGGAAAGGGTAAGTTGCAGGGCATGGCTACAGTATGCACAACATAGTTGAACTAGAACATTTTTAAAAACTCTTTGAACTCACCGCAGCAGGAGCCACACACAGCTTATGATCCACTGTTTGTCCTCAAGATACTTACTGTAGATTGTTTAAAAGAAAAGCACAGACTTGCTGACCTAAACGTTTAATTTAACTGGTTAAAGTTGGAATAGCAACTGTGGCAATAATGAGTGGAACACACGAACACTATAGCCACATTTAACAAAGCAGAGCAGAGTTAAATAGAAAATAACATTTAGAACAGCAAAATAAATAAATAAAATCAAAAAAATCCTTTGAATTAGTTTGGAATTTGACCAAGTGTGAAGACACATTCCTTGGAGCCTGTTCCCTCCTCCAGACTGGAAGTGGGACAAATGTGAATCTGAATGAAGCTTGCATGTTGCATCTGATGGCCAAGAAGATTTGTTTTTTGTTTTTTGTTTTTATAGCTGAGCTGTGTCTGAATAACCTCCCTTATTCATTCACAGATCACAAAACACAATAAACACTCAAAGTATTTAATTGTGAGTGATTTTGGACACTGAGTTACCATCACTAATCTCTGTAGAGCAAAGGAAAGGACTGCACTGCTTTAGGATTTAGTTTTAGGATAAACTGCTAAAGTATTTGGTAAAAATATAACCTCATTTCTCCAATTATTTTAAATTTGAGTGAATCTTTGATTGTTGATAGTTTGATTATTGTTTGTTAGTTGTACTTAACTAGAAAGGTTAATATCATTCAATCTCAGAGAGGAAAGGAATAAAAAATAAGGTTTAAAGGGAAATTTGACCATATTATCTGGTATTTTTCCAATTTAACCATAAATAAAACATTTAAATGTCCCATGTTAATTTTAACTAGCTGGAGAGGCTAATTTGGAACAGCTAGAATAATATAAAACTAGTTTGGTGACATCTGCTGATTAATTTTCTGTCCATTCACTAACTGACTGACTAATCATTGCAGTCCTACATTGGAGTAAAAGCCAAATGTTTCTGACAGGAGTTGGTGCAGACCAAAGCAAAGCTAAGAGTGAATACTGAACTTGAATTTTTCCAGGTGGCCTGAAACACAACTTCAAATGAATGCCAGTGGTGCTCTGTTTCTCCTGGATGGATGTTTGCCACCACATTAGCCATATTGACATTATAATGTAGTGTCTGTGTTATAATTATGGTCTGTTGCATTGCAACTAATGACCAATGGGAAGAAAAAAAAAATCATTAAATGCAGGTTTGTTTCTTTTTTTACTTTCAGAAAGTTTCCTTTAGCTTAACAACTAACTGTTTAAATCGTTTTTTTAAACAAAATGACTTATTGCAGCTTCTCCTGTGTGCAGATTTGCTGCTTTTCTCTGTCTTCTATCAATGTAAACTGAATATCTTTGGGTTTTGGACTAATGATCGGACAAAATACGACATTTAAAGACGACTACAAAGAATCAAGTGAAGAAGTCGCATGGTGCCCATGTCCCATTGGGTTTCAAAGGCCCATCATAAGCACTCAAAAGGACAAGGAAATAACTTCTGACAGTATCTGTGTGCTTTTACAATAACCATACCTTCTTTCCCCAACAGGAAATCCAGGAAGTGGTAGGTGTAGGCCACACCCACTTTAGTCTCCACTTGAGGCCTTCGAAGGGTGGAGTAGATATTGCCTGGGCTTCGCCTCTCTTCTGTCTTCCGAAACTTAGGAAGCCTACACCCCATGTCTCTAGAGGAGTAGAGGTGGGGGGTGGGGGTCAATAAAAACCAATGGGAGTTAGAAAGGAGACAAACAGAGGGGGGTCTTAAAAAGGCTAGAGTGTGAAAAATGGAATTTACCAATAACATCACCATACGTGCTGGTCACACACAAGACTAAATGCTATTGCTAATAATGTGTGTATCTATCTCATGCAGACCCCACAATAGGTAAGGTCAGGTCAAGTGTTTATTGTCATAGGCACAGTGAGGAAACGTGTTTCCCTGTACAATGAAATTCTTACTTTGCCATCCACACGAATGCCACACAATATAAGTTAAATATAATGCAGATATATAGGTAACACAAAATCTAAATCTCAAAATCTAAGGCACTCTAAAACAACCGATGAAAGAAGCATAATGAAAAATACAAGAATACAATGTAAAACAGCCAGTGAAGAAGCATATGAAGAATAATAATACTGAAAATACTGAAATGCGAGTGTGCCAGTCATTACCTGCTTGGTGGGCTGTGATATGGGCATCTCCTAATCAAATAGGGCTGATTGGGAGCGACATGTTTGATCAGAACGAATTAAAGCAGAAACGAGACCGATTTCCTGCCCTGTCAAGCAGAGCGACATGAGAGTAGATAGATGAGGAGAGGAAAGGACTTTAGTATGTTTTACTGCTACACAATTTACATGATGATCCAAGGTAGCCTTGAAGCACAAAGAAGCTTGTGTTTTATTTTAAGATTTATTCAGATTGTGTAAGGACTATTATACTCTCAAGGGCAGGTGTTTGGAAACATCTAAAAATTCTCCCCTTCTTTAATTTGGACAGGCAACTTATATGCAAAAATCTGAGTTACTTTAAAAGAAAAACTAGAAGAGTGAGGAGGCTTTGCAGACAAATTATTAGGGATGAAAAATAAATGAATAACAAATGGATGCGGGGTGTAAAAAGAAAGGACAAGGGAGGGGTAAAGGGCAAGAGAAGAAAGGTGCGGTCACATATTGTCAAGATAATCTGATGTGACAGCATCGTTGCCCTCAAACCATCACCACAGTTACACTTAATAACCCCGTCTGCCACGGCTTGTAAGAACCGCACCGAAAGGTACGCATCTGCATGCATCTTCCCCAAAGGCAGGTCCATATCTGTATCTCTACATCTGTTTGGGGAGCATGGAAAATGACACAGTAACTCCCACTGGGCCAAATGCATGGACATTAACTCAGCTAACGATCCTAACAGACTACATTAAGCCTAGCCTGAGTGTGTGTGTTTGGTGACTTATAGCTTTGATTGCATGGTATGTGCATTTCCAAAGGTTAAAAAGTTGCAAAAGGCAGCATCTTTGATCCATTTTCATAGCTCGTCTGTCTTGAGGCATTACACTCTGTCAATTAAGATTTTGTAAAGAACCAGCAATTAAGAGTCATTATTCTTTCAATTCAACATGCTCTTTCATAATGAGGACAAATAAGGAGAGATGGAGGTAGAAGGAGAAAGAGAAACAGCAGTATATCTTACTGAACATCTCTCCTCTCTCCTTGCTCCAGCCATGCTTCTGTCTTTCTTCCTCTTAAACTCTCATACCATTAGCTCTTCAGCTTGTCTTTTTCACAATGTCCAAAGCTGCCACTGCTTGTCTGACCCATGCCTTAATCACTCTTTTTCTCTTCAGCCTCTCTTGTGTTTCTGTCTGCCATCCTTGATTAGGACAAGTCCCTTCAAGTCTATTAGTACAATGGCATTGATTAGTCTTACACTAAGGTATTAATTTCTGTCACAGTCTTTCTTGTCTATCTAATTACAAGAATTCACAACCTTCCCTATCTCTGTATCAGTTAGTCCTGACTTTTACTTTCACTCCATCTTTCCACTTTGTCAACTTCCCTGCAGTCTTCAATCCCTTTGTCAAACTTTAGCCTTTCCATTCTGTCCCTTAACTCATCTCCCCCTTCAGTCAGTCCTGTCATATATTATACATTATAATGCTACAGTATATTATGTCCTTTGATGCTATTTTCATTTCCTGCTGCAGTACATTTCTTTTTAGCAAGCCATTCAACACTGTCCCATCCTCCATCCTTTCAGTCCTCCAGTCTGGTGGCTCATTGAGTTTTTCCAGTATAAGTGCTCCCCTGCTGAGCCTGTTAAGACCCATAAAACTATTACAACATCTCCAGACAGATGGACAGACATCTAGCTAAGTAGATCCTGGGTTATGACTAAGTTAAAGCATGTAGATCCACTCCCAAACATTCTCCCTCCAGGGCTATACTTTAATGTGCTCTGTCTGCTATTGGGACAAAGGGAGGTTAATGTGCTCATGTTTAAGCAGGCTTCATCTCTGGCTGGTTAGGAAAGTGAAGGGTCAAAGGGTGAAGAACAGGATGGAGAAAGAAAATGTGGTCAAAATATGATGATGATGATGATGATGATGATGATGATGATGATATTTTCTCCTACAACGAGTTGAACAAAATGGAAGAGAAGCACATATGGAATGAAAGAAATGTGCTTTGAGAGTGATTTGCATCCTTTTGACAGTGGTGTGGTGGGTACAGCAGTCATCTCCCAACCAGAAGATTGAAGGTTCGAATCTCGGTGCCTGCAGTCCACATGTTGAAGTGTCCTTGCGCAAGACACTGAACCCCAAAGTTGCCCATGATGGTGGCACATATGCAAGCAGCCGCCCTGGGCCCCCTCTCCACAACAAAATTTCGTTCTACGTGTTACAATGAAAATAAAAAAAATAAAGCTTCTTTCACTTTCTGGAACTCTAAATTTTCACCCTTTGCCTTGGCTCTGATACTCTCCAGTACATTTTCGAACCTATCCCCAAATTACTTTAATTTTCCAAAAAAAAAAAAAAAAAAAAAAAAAAAAAAAAAGCACATTCATTCATTCTCCTTACTGTATGAATAATGTATTAAGCAGTGCTAAAAAGAAAAAAAAATCATACCAATTTGGAATAATTTGCCTATTATTTTGCTAGTGACAGTTGGTTTATTGCTATCAATTAAACTTTATTGACTCTAGTCTTGATCTTGACTAGCCTACAGCTCCACTGTTTGATCCAGCATCATATTTGTCATTTTAATGCTGAGATTCTTGTTTCAAAAAAAGGCCTCACTTTACCACTGAGGTTTAGAAACGGATCTCAGTAATTGGACAACTTTAAATGAAAAATCCAAGGTTGTATTATTGAAGAAACTCCAGTGCATTGAAGACTCGAGGCCTTTTTCGTACATGTGAAGCCTTTTTCTCTACATGCCGACTTCAAACAGAATCTCTCACTTGCTGTCACACAAACAGGCAGAAAAGGTCTTGACAGCAAAAAACATCCATTAAACATGGAGAGACAGGAGAGAGAGACAGATAAAAGAAGAGGGAAAAAGAGGATGAAGTGAAGAGTGAGGTAGGAAGGGAGTGGCACAGGGCTTCTCATTACAGGATCTTGTGTAACAGCGAGTTTTGAAATGACAGCGGATTTATGCAAGAGCATAATCCATCTGTGCTATGCCACCGCTCTGCTACCTCCTGCGCCACTCACGGGGGGATGCCTGCTTTCCAAGAAGCAGTATTCACTGGCAACCGAGGGAGAGCCCAGGCTTGGGAACATTCACAATAAATATAGATAGAGCTACCAGAGAGGCTCAACAATAGTGCCAAAGTAAGAACTGTCTTCATACTAAACACTTCATATTGCCTTGGAATTGTTTTTGAAAGACAAATACTTTGCATACAGTAAATAAATGAACAAATAAATAAACAAAAGCTGAATAATAAAAATTAAGTAAACATATAATGTTGCAATAATGTAGATTTTTATGCAGTTTGATAAATTAAGTGAACATGGAACAGGATATGGCATTTCTTCGTTATACTACCTTACACCTACATTGGTTCTGTTGTTATTCCTGCAACCCTTCCCTAAAAGTCTGAAACAGTGGCTGTCAGAACGAAGAGGCTACATCCTTTTACAATGATGGGGTGGGACAAAGGAAAGGCCTTTTGAGATGGAAAGAATGAAAAGCTATTTGATTTAGATGTGGTATTCTTCCTTCTGGACGTGTTAGTAGCTAAAGCTAACATGTTTGTTTTGGTAATATTAGCAACCTAGTATGGTCGTGACTTTACCTTTGTAAAGTCATGCAGAATATTTTAGCACCAACCCTGACTACCTTAATGTCACTTTAGGAAAAGCATTTGTTTTGTTGCATATAATAAGTTGTGTTCATTTTTGCACCTAATGCATTAAGCTAATTTATAGCAGGTCTCGGCAAATAAACCTGTCTAGTCCCCTTTATTATTAGACTTTATGGGCATGCTTGGAAACCATATTTCTCACTGGTTCTGACTAGATGGCATTACAATTACTCTTTATGCAAGTATTGTCTGGCTGCTTAAAAGTGCATGATTCTGAATTATGTCACTTTTTAAAGTTGGTTGTTTGGCAGCAAAAAATAACCTATATTGGTGAGAAAAACCTGCCCTATTATTCAGATCTACAGACAGGTCACAAAGGAAAAATCAACATGAAGTGTAAGGTGTTAGGCCACCACTTGCCATCAGAACAGCTTCAGTTTACCTTGATATTGTTTCTACAAGTCTCTGAACTTCATTGGAGGGATGAGCACCATTCTTCCAAAAGATATTCCTTTGGTTCAGTGATTTGATGATGGTGGTGGAGATGCTGTCTAACACGTTGCTTCAAAATCCCCCATAGGTGTTCTGGTGACTGCGAAGGCCATAGCTTATGATTCACGTCATTTTCATACTCATCAAATGGTCATTCCTGGAAGGTACGATTCATCTTTTTCCTTTGATTTGTCACCCATACTTATGTGTTTCACTGAATTTCAAAATTAGAAGTGACAGACTGAGTCCTGGGGAGTGGTCATCCCTCCCACTGGGCTGGAGCTGCACTCAGTTTCTATCCAAGGATAGGGGATGCTGATAGTGGGGGGGAAAAGAAGGAAGAGAACGAGGAGAAACAGAAGAGCAGGGGCAGTAGACAGACAGCATGTGAGAGAGACTGGGAGCATGTCAAGTTGCCTGGAGGGAGGTGCAGTTTCCCCCAAGCAACCAACTAGTCACCTCAAACAGTGTTTTAATGAGGCTGCAGGGGAGGATGAAAACAAATTATGACAGTGATATATTGGCCTGTTGAGCAGCTCCTTGGCAATTTTGATCTAAAAAAAAGTTTATGAACAAAAGAAAACTATTTAGACTGGAGCATCAATTTACTAGACTCTGCATGGGCTCTTAAGATACTTCAATCCATCATTTCAACATTGACTCAATTTCTGATGAGCAAGAATAACTGATGAATTTCTTGCACGACTAATATGATAAACTGGATGTCTTTCACCACTAATGAGTGCTTTTCTCAAATGCTTCTAAATATATTTCAAAGCCAGGCTATATGGTGAGCACACATACATAGATAGCCATGTAAGTAATTGATGCCCCATGCATTTTGTGGGTGCAGCCTAGCTTGAAATGACATGTTTCTGGTTTTCCCTATTGGTGCATCCAACCTTAACCTCCCTCCACAAACAGACACACAACACCACAAGCTGGTGCTGCCAGTTAAAGGTGGTAGTTTAGTGAACGGAAAATGATTCATGACAGCTCCCTTACGCACCAGATCCGTCTCGTTCTGACACACAAACCACCTCTTGCATGTCCGCCGGGCACATTTACTCCGTCATGCGTATCTTGAGTTCACTTCAACCTGTGACACCGAGCAGAGGGCTTCTTCCTTTCTCTCCACCATGAATACGAGTGGCACACAACATGACACAAATCAAACGCCTAAACCAAGAGGATCTCTCTGCCACATGTATTCAGAAAGACTTTCATAGACTTCTCAGTTCATTTTGGGATATTTTTGCCTCTATGTCATTGACTGTCTATAGCTTTTATTTTTTCTAAGATGTATATTCTCATTCCACGTGCCGCAAAAACAAAGACAAAAATGTTATTTGGAAATATTAGATTTATGGTTTGGTTGTTCTTACTGCCAAGTATTATCTAGATGTCAACAACATATTGCTAAATATACGTTGTTTTTTAAAATCAGAAATAAACAAGCAGGCAAAAAGAGTTAAACTCACCAATCAAGTGGTTCACAGTCTGCACGAAGTGTACGCCGGATCGAAATGCGTCCTTACACTTCAGTCAGTGGACGCGCGTCTCTCCCTCTCTAGTGTCTTCAGGAATAGCGCACAGCGGCTCTCATACGGAGATCCAATGGGGAGAAGACGAGTCTGCTGCTGAATCTCAGGGGCAGCTCATGATCAACACCCCGTCTACCTTTGCCTCTGTCAAAAGCGTGTGTAAAGACCAGAGGAAGAAGAGAGCGCGGTTTACGCTCATCCTCTCTCCTCCGTTGTTCCCGATTCTCTGCAAGACTATAGCAAAACGATTTCTTATAGTGGACTTACTATGAAACAAACGCGCCTATCAATATGTACAGGGTAACTATAAATAGTAACAGAAATATCAAACTTTATGCCAATTGTAGCCACCGTTTCCAAATGTTGTTGCCCCAGTAGTTAGTGCTGTTTTCCAGTGTTAGTCACACATGCTCCTGGGTCTCCTATCAAAGTTTTAGGAGTTCAATGTGTTTGTGTTTTACAAGAGCCTCGTTTGGAAAATTCATATTTAATAGGAAGCTATCCAGACATCAATTATTCACAAACGTCTGACTGAGGAGGTAGGTGGGTGGTCTTGGGCTGGACCAGGCACCCCTGGGAGCCCGGTCACACCACCAGAGTGTGACAAAAACAAAACACACTGTGACCAAGAGATGATGGGCTTGTTGCCAGGGAATACAACCAACCCAACCCTGACTGAACACCAGCAGCTGGCTGATAGGCTTAGGGAGGCTGGGAGTAACAGAGATGGGCATGCAGCAGTCTGGAAGCTCCATGCTCCAGTGTCACTGAATTCAAACTGAAAGCATGAAATAAAGAACACATTCCAAAAGAAATACACAACCAAATCAAAATGTAGGGCACCTATCATTCAAAGATCTTCAATACCAGTACCAATAGCTGTTCCTAATGGGATTCTTTGTTCGATACCAATCTTATAAAATCAATTTTAACAAAAACTATACATATATATTACAAAATCTGTTGCCATTTTGTGCACTCAAAGCAGTTTCATGACATAAAAAGCAAACCTATTTTCCACAAGTTCTGTTAACATTAATATCAATAAATAAAAATGTAGAAAATCATTTTTCAATACACGATGGTATTAAAGTAATTCGATCAATACCATAAAAGTATCCAAGTTCGATACCCAGTACTACCAAAATGTGACATTAAAAAACCCTCAAGAGCTTCAAAAATTTAAATGGTAACAGATTTCAACTTTTATTTTTCAAACAAAATATCCAAAGCCTGCAAACATGAACACAAACCTAACAGTGCAGTGCTCCTAAATGGAAGTGGAAAAAAAAGTGTATAAAAAGTATTGTTCACTCATGCAATGTCAGTAAAATGTTTTCTGTAATACCACCTGCAACTATATTAAAACCCCAAATCCTGAAACTAACAGTATGAAGTGAACTATGTACAGTGAGTGTCTTCACCAAACATACAGTGGAGCTCCTTTAAATCATTGCCTTCATTTTCTAAGTGGATTAAAACTGCTTTCCACTTTCTCTCCAAATAAGTTGATTGAGTAATGAGAAACTAAATTGATGCCTTGATTGTCCTCGAGTGTGAAACAGTGGAGATCAACTTGAAATATCCAGTGTTTGCCCAAAACAAACAAAATAACAATAATAGTAAAAATAATAATAATAAAAACTGTGAAACTGAAAAGTTTTTGTTTACCATCCCAAATGGACACACAATTAAATAAAATAGAAAGCAATATAAATGTGAGTGCTTGAAATTAATGGAATAGCCGAAAGCCCTTATACTGTAACAGATAGGTTAATGAAAACTAGTCAAAGGTACATTAGATCTCCACTGGAGTTAAAGAAGCATACTCCAGTGCTGAAACCAGATTTCTGTAAAGACACTGTTAACATACTGACAGCATTTATGTACAGAGATCCCTTGCAAAAGCTAAAGAAAGCCAAATCAAACAAACACTTAAAATAATTTCTGAAAATAAATAGCAAAACAACATAAACAGGCAAAAAGGGTGATCTTAAAAGTTTTTTCTATCTTTAGTTTTAGATAAATAACAAAGGGAAACAAAAAAAGATTATGTGAGTCAGTGCATCAGCTGGTATGGTGAGGGTGCTCTGCGCTTCCCGTGCAACTTTTTCTATGATCTGTGTGAGTTAAAAGCGGCTGACCACAGCTCGACCCTACCAGTCACAGTCAAAGCGACTTTGATCAAACTAGTACAGTTAAACTTGTGAGCTCCTGCAGTCTGGTGTTAAAATGGGTCTCAGAAATTGAGGGGAGGAGAAAGGAGGGCATACTGAAATCAGTCTGACAAGCTGAATCCAAGACATGAAATGGTTATCCTGTCTGCATTTTGACTTGCTGTAGCCTATGAGAGAGCAGAAGACAGAAAATCCCATCACAAGCAAATAATGGTTTCCCATTTCAAATACACACCCAGTCTGGATTACCAACATTTATACTAATAAAATAAAAAGGAACGCTAACAACAGAACAGTATGACTGGGCATGACTGCAGAACATCATGCACAACAGAGGAAGGTGGCTATAGGTTAGAATAGGCAACCATGTGCAGTGGAGAGCTAACAGTCTACAGTTTGTTTTTTTCCTGACTGCAATGACTAACCCCCTGCTCTTTCAGGGAAGGTGCGCCAGCCTACCATATCCCTGGCATGATAGTGCTTTGGAGTAGTGTTTTACCTGGCAGGAGGCTGTGTAGCTGTGGTCTACAGCACAGTCAACATAGTCTGGACTCCACAGTCCACAAAGCTCTGGAAATGGGGTGCAACATTACCAAAATGAGCTTGCTGAAAATGAAAGAGGCACAGAGATGCTACAAAGGAATGAACAATTGCCATAAAACAAACTTCCATAAACACTGCAAGTGCTACAAATTGTCAAGTACACAGAGCAACCTTGTACAATGGGGTTCATTAAATCTCATGGGTAAACACTGCCCAGACATCACCATCTACTGGCAAACAGGGACACTGCAGTTAGTGGACAAGCCACAACCAATACTCTCAGGTTGAAAAGCGGTGCAAAAAGTCAATTCAATAAGAAGCACACATTAATAAATAAGTAAAACAGCTAATTTGCCATCATCAGATGGAATCCTAAGTTCTCCAAGGTGCACACAATGTTTTCAGCCCCTTGGGCTTACAAGGTCCTCACATGACAAGTGATTTGACTTGCACTGAATGTTAAACATCCTGACATCCACTCCTATTCCTACTAAATGCAGAGTCACCTGATCGATAGGCTGTGTCCTCTGGTCTGCAATCCAGCGAGGTGGAGCATACTGTGTGTGGGTGAGAAGGGTCAGCAGTTAACCAGAGGGCAACAGACAAACTCAGATTCACCTCTACAGGACAGATGTGGGCTGTGTTGAGAAGTCAGGGAGGACAGGTGGACCTAAACCAGGCTGAACCCTTCTTCTGATATGCAGGAGTGTGTATGCAGTGCCTGAAGACCCTGCATGAGATGCTGTTGACCAAGGGGTGTGGAGTTGTGTATGTACCTGGTAGGCATAGCTGTTCTGTGCGTAGTTCACTGGCACCTGCGGAATTACAAACCCTCCAAAGTTGGAATAGGAGTACGGCTGCAAAGACAGCCAGTGACTACACGTTAGGCCACAGTACAAGACGGTATTAAAATACATACTGAAAGGTTCTGGTAAAATGACTAACTGCTTGTGACAGTTGGTACTGTCTGAATAATTCAACAACAAAGATATTATTAGAAAAGACATAACCATGCCTTAACCAACTTTATTTTTTATCCTTTGAGTTAAATTGAAAAGGTTGCTCTCTACTTTGCACCTTTGTTCTAGGCTGTAATAATGAATTCACTTCACCGTAAAGAAAAAGGCTTATGTTATTTTACAGAGTGCAACAGAGAATAGAAAGGTGTGTATGTGTGTCAGCATCACTAATACCACACATAATGCGCTTACTCGGCTTGACAACTTAAGTTTTTTTCCAAATTCTGTCTGCTGGCCTGTTGAGATGAGACTCCTGCATGTGTGATACCTGATTGTAGGGGCTGCCTCCACTGATGATGGATGAAGGTTGTGCTACACTCCCTCCCATGGATGAGCAGCAAGAACAGTAGAAGTACTGGGTGGGGCTCATCCAAGGAGCTGGACCAACCAGATGGGACGGCATGTACCCTGAATAAAGAATAAAAACATTACATGACAGTATGTGTGTGAACATTTAATGTAACCTCTATCTGCACTGCTAACCAAACACCCAAATGAAATTCTTCGGAGGTGTCTCCTAATACATACGAGAGCTCCTTTCTTTCATGATGGCTGGACCCAGTTTGAGTTTTCGGCCTTTAAAACTGATCTGTTGCTATGGGGAAAAAATATTAACAGAAATATTACTGTCAGTTGGAAAAGAATAGTATAATAATATAACAGCCAGACATCCACTCACCTCAATGATTGACTGAATGTTGACATCTTCACTGAAGTACACAAACCCATACCTAAGGACACAGAAAATAACTCGGTACAAAACTACACCTAATCAATATCAATACCCTATGTAAATATATGGGGAAAAATACATTTTAGTAAAGCAAAAATATTCAGAAAACTGCCATGAATATAAACAACTGCCCATTTTACAGGCACACACATAAGTTAACTAACAAATGCTCTTTAGGAGTTAAATTAATGACTCAAAACTAAAGTTGGATACCGTTTGAATTTTACTGATACAGATTTCGATTCTGCTTATCAATTCTGGTTCTTATCAATTCCAAAATGGTTAAAAAATATTTAGATAAAAACACCTTTTCTTGTAAACATAAACTGAATATTCACAAATTAAACAGTATTTTACTAGCATTTACTAAATATATACACAATAAATAGGCAATTGTGCTTTATGATATATGGGGGCAGCAGCAGTGATGCCCTGTGGTAGATGGGCACCATTACAAAAGGAACTCATCTTGGAGATTTAACAGACAAGCGCTGTCTTAAATGTTTTCATTTTCTTTTCTAAAGTGAAGCCACACTTCTGTCCGTTCCCTGCGTTCCATATTTTCACATTGTTGTAAGTGGTATTAGCCATTCATACTAGCTTGTATGTAAACAAATTGATATGCTGTTGGTTTAATGCATGGTGTGGTCAGGTAGACAAGTTCCGGTACACAGATACATACATCTTTGCAGGTAAAACTCTTTGCTTTGTTTGCAAGGGTTCACAATTAGGAGCCAATGAGCAGAACTGAAATTAAGTTTGTCTTTTTATGGTACCTGGTACCCAGCATTTTAAACTCGGTTCTAATTTGGAACCAATGTTCCGTTTCCAACCCCACTCAAAACAATAGCAAAAGGTCACATTTACTCCAGTACAATGCACAAGTCATCAAGTGTTGATTTTTATCTATTTAAACATGTATTAATCTATTTAAAAAGTGTTTAAATCATTTAAGACTAGTAAAGACAGTCATGTCAAAAAATAACAATACTAATACACACTCAGGATTGTCAAGTAGTCAAACATTTTCACATTACACCTGAATGTCTCTAAAAAGCAAAACCCACCCTTTGCAGATCCCTCCACGGTATGTGATAATTTTCACTTCCTTGACAGCACCATATCTGGCAAAGAAGTCCCGCATTTCCTTTTCATCCACCTAAAAATTCAAATGAATTTTTGTTGAAAAAATTGACTTCTGAACATCTTCCCTGTATTACGTACTGTAGACAAAAAGCAAGGCAGTGCACTAGTGCAGTATTCACAATGTGCAGTTCAAGTACACCACAACACTTGTTTTCAACCGTCTCACTCACGAGACCTAGCCTTTTTATATTATCTATAATTATGTTGCCATGGCTCCTCTCGCTTAATTTAAAATTAAAATGAAAGCATCAATCTGCTGGGGTTAAGTGGTGACACCTTCAAATGTGCTGTGGCACTGAAAATTTAATTTAGAATAGAACAAAACTTTCAGATGAATGAATTTTAATTATTAAATGTGTGGGCAGCAAGCATGAAGATACAGTACTTTTCAGAGATATACAGTAGTGGGTGAAACATTTAAAAAAGCTCAAAATTGAAGCCCAACCCAAAGGCAGAATCCTTGGCTTTCATAAGAGCCACACACACGCCCTAACACCACCCTGTTATTTGTGGAAATAGTGCAGTTGCCCATGATTATTGGTGTTTTAAACAGCTATTAACAATCTGAAAGGCCATTTCTAGCAAGAAATCATTAAAATATCTGACTGATTTTGCTTTAGCAAAGTACACATTCCTATGGGAAGAGCTCAGCCAAGGGCCTGGAAACTGGAATGTGTGTATTCAGATGATGACTTATGCCCTTAAAATGTATTTTCATACCTGGCTGTGCCTAGATTCACGTGAACTTTTTACCTATCTTTAATCTTGGGCGGGCAGACAGACAGACAGACATTTCAAATAGCCGGACGGGCAGACAGACAGACATTTCAAATAGCCGGTGTCTACCTAAACTAAACTGATTTCATCTTACCTTCATGTCAATTCCACCAACAAAGAGGGTGTTGGGAGTCAGTTTGCCCTCAGGCAGAATGTATCCATTGGACAACATCAGAGAGGGTGAAGTCTGGTTGCTGTTCATGGGCTTGTGCATGTCCTTTCAATAAAACAATGTTTGAATTCTGAAGTTGTAGGACAGGTAAATATCCGAGTATGCCATTTCGTACGTCTTCTCGCGGTCAACACTTCAATCAATAATCAAAGTACAACCTATAAGCGCGAGAGCCTGAATAACATGAACTTCCATTAGCAATCTGGATTAGCGCTCCGTTGTTTCTTTAGTTTGATGTAACTCAAGTTAACCAGGACATGAATTCAGTTTGCATTGTTAGCCAAATATGAACACCAACACTAAGTAAATCGGACTTTAACAAACACAGAGCAACTGCAAATAAGTCATCGTAACTTTAGCTCGCTAACTGGTAATAACGCAACTTAACTTTCACTGCTAGTCCAGCTAATGTTAGCTACCAGGAGCCAGTGCGCCTTTTTCTTCAGGCGTAGGTGGCTAATGATCTAGCAACCTAACACGAATGTTGGCACAGTACATCAACAAATATCTTCAACTAAGCTGTAACAGTATATCGTTGTACACGTAAAACTTACCATATCTAAAATATTTAAAACTAATAAATTATCCAGCCAAACTCAAAGGCACGCCGTGGCCGCTCTGCCAGACAACAGCTACCTCTCCTGAGCCAAGACCACGCCTTCTTCACATGACTAATCTAAAGCCTAGTGATGAGCAAAAGAAGCAATGAATCAGTACTGAACCACTTCGAAACCTGTCTGGAAAATGGGTTCATTCATTCAAAGCTTCGTTTCAGTGACATATAGTGGGGAAATAGGAGACAGCAAAATAATGCCTTGATAAATACAGTATGTGATGAGTCTAACTAGGGTTAGTAATAGTAGGTAGGGGCTGTTCTGAGCCACACTCCAGTCTGGAAGGTGGCGATAATGCACCAAAAGCTGGTTGCCAACCGCCATTAAACAACTGAATAAGAAAAACTATTGCTTGTGTGAATGATGTAAATCCTCTTTTGTAAAGATTGATTGATTGGTCGGTTGGTTGATTCTATAAACTTAGCAGTTGGGAGAAGGCGTGCTTGGGGAAACAGAGGATGTGCTAGGATGGTAGGGTGTGATTATGTAAGTGGGATGGAGATTCAGAGATTTTTATTGAGAAACAAGTTGAGACTTGAAAGGGGAAGATTTTGGGTACGTTTAGGAAGTCAGTTCCATCTGTATGTAGCATAGTAGCTAAAAGCAGCTTCACCCTCTTTAGTTCTGATCCAAGGTCATACCATCTGACTGCTTCTGCCTGCTTGTATTGGAGTATTTATACACTGTGGGAGTGATATGTTTACTTACTTTTAACACTGTTTTAGGTGAAGTGAATTCCGCATGACCTTATTTCCTGAAGTAGCCACTTTCAGTTGGACACAGTAAACTGTCATTAGACGTCTTAGACTTGAACCTCTTGCTGAGCCAGCTGCAGCTGCCATTCACTATGAATGAGGCCTGGCATTACAGCCCTGTGAAGAAATGAAAGATCATGAGTGTTTGTGTTTTATCGGCTTATAAATATTGTGTTTGTTGATATTGATATCTAATCTAATTTGTGACTTTGGTGAAGATCAGATCGCATTTCATGACCCAATTTATGCAAAACAAAAGCAAAAACAGGAAATTGCAAACAGTGCAATTACTTTTTCTTGCGAATGTATCCCCTGATACAAAGTGAACAAAACAGGAGAGACGAGCACCACCATCTTGACTGCAAATGCAAACAAAGCACAGATTAGTTACTTACTCCACCTCACTATAACTGTGGTCAAATGGGCAAATGACAGACACACCTGTGTACAATGTATAATGCAAATCAAAGTAAGTTTTTCATTTCAGCTGCTGTTTCTTGAATGTTATTACCAGTAATGTTATAAAATGAGATAACTTTGGCTGTTGTCTGGCCAAGGGCTGAGCTGATAGTTCATTGCAGAGGACCTGTAGTGGACCCTTAAACAGCCTGTTATAGGCTGTATGGAAATACAAGACAGGGTCAAAGGAAAATAATGGAGACAGAAGGGTGGATTGCAGATTACAGTAATGTGTGCTATTTCAGAAACATGGGCATGAATTTATCATTAAACGGTGATCTCCTGAGCAGCACAACTGCTGACAGGCTACTTCAGAACCACAGTTAGCACCATGGACTTTATCAATAATTTGCTCAAAACTCAGTCAGATAAAGGACAAAAATGTATAGACAGGCTAGTGAGGCTGGCAGCTAAGGATAGAAGGGAAATTAATACACTGTTTCACATTTTCAGGGTTCCAGGCTGCCAGTGATCAGTCGCATTTTGCAGCCAAATTTAAGATGTGAATGAATTTTTTGTCAAAGGTCATACAGGGTGCTCCATCCATCCATCCATTTTCCTCTGCTTATCCGGCACCGGGTCGCGCGGGCAGCAGTCTAAGCAAAGATGCCTAGACTTCCCTCTCCAGCCACTTCCTCCAACTCCTCCAGGGGAATTCCGCGGCGTTTCCAG